AAAACGGAATCGGGGACATACGGTCGTCGTTGCGGTGGCGAGAGTCGCGGTTGAAGCCGGAGGTGTCGAGAATCGCCATCGTGTTCTCCTCCATCCCTCTCCCATTGCCGCCCCTTTGCCTCGCCATAATCGGAAAACCTAATTGGGAGGGAGAGTTTCAGTAGTTGCAGCCGTGTGAATTTTTCTTTTACGAACACTGTAGCACTGTTTTCTTTCCCGCCGATGGAAAGAATAATACGGAGTACTCCAGTAAAATTTAAATAATAAAAAAAGAAAAAAAAAGAATTCCGTTGCCGGGACTTGAACCCGGGTCTCTCGGGTGAGAGCCGAGTATCCTGACCATCTAGACTACAACGGATTGATGTGCTGGTTGTCAATCGTTAGTTATAAATTGACTTGCATCAGCACTTACTACAAAAAGAAAAAATAGTATAGAACGGAACTGAAATTGGCGGTTTTAAAATGACTTATACTTCATCCGTCCCGATTTTAAGTACCCATTTTGACTTTTGATCATTTTTATTGGATGTTGACTTTGGGAAGGAAATGTCTAAAATACCCTTATCCCCTTCCCCTTCCCTGTTATTTCAACACTGCCCTTTCCTCATCCTTACCTTCCCTCATCCTAAGCCCACACAACCACCGCCACCTAATGAAGAAATGGATATCATCATCTTGAAAATAGATAAATTCTTACTCAAAGTTCATGAGACGCATTGCTTTTGTACCTCTACAATACTCTTTGTTGTTTTCTTTTGTGGAGAATCAATATCAATAAAATATCCGTACGAGGAAATCATTTTTTGCACGAAAAAATGTAAAGTCTCAGAGAGTGTCAGTGAGAAAATTTGTTACATTTCAAAAAAAGAAAGAAAAAATAATGGTAATATGGTGTTTCTTTCACAAAGATTGTATTTATAATTTTTTGGTTCTAAGTCATTATATAGAGAACTCCAAGTACAGTCAATGTTCTGAAAATCGGACCGGACGTCAACCCGGACAAAGCACTGGGTCAAGGGTTAACCGGTTGAACTGGGGTCAACTCGGGTCAACGACCCGGTCAAACTATAATTAAAATGCTAATATTTTATATTATATCATTAGATATTTTTAGTTAAAAAAAGTATTTAGCTTGTGTTTTTACTTCTCCATCTAGTTTTAATTCCATAACCCATATATTATTTCACAATTTCTATTTTTTTCAATTACTTTTATTATTATTAAAAATTGAGTGTCTAACACACACTCAAATTATAAAGTAATACTCTTTTTTGTTTTTGAAAAATAAAGAATAGATAATATGTTTTTATTTACTAGTTACATTTTACGGAGTAAAATTTATATTTAGTTGATTGAAATAATTGAAAATATAAAAAGCAGCATATTAAATTATAATTAATAATTTAAAGAATAATACATTAAGTATAGATTATTTATAGTTTTCTTAAGATAAAAAATAAATAATACTAATTATGTATAAGTTTGAACTACTTAAAAAATTAACAATATAAATATATTATATAAACATAGTTCTTTTTCTAAATAATTGGAAGTTTTTTTTAAAAAATTACTCTCTAAATAGTTTAAGAAGCTAATATATTGAACATTGCATAGCATTGTTAGCAAAAGCCGAGTAGATTATTTGGTTAAGATCCCTCCTGTGTAGTTGTGGTGGCCATGTTCGAATCCTGGAATGAGATTTTTTAATCAAATAAGGCATTTTGGTCTAAACCCGGGAACCGGCTGGGCCAACCCGGGTCATCCGGTTCACCGGTTCTTCCGGGTTTGGACGGGTCAAAGCAAGGGCGGGTTTCGATGTTGAACCGGACCGGATTGGTGTCCGGTTCACGGTCCCATCGGTTGGACCGGCCGGTCCGGTCTGGGTTTAATAACATTGAGTACAGTAAGGTAGTGCTTCATAAGAAGAATCAACTCATTTCTCATTTGCCTTTCAAGTCAAAAAAGGTTTTAAAGGGATAGTTCTACCTCGATGAGTTCAGGTGGTACAAATGTAAGTTCGCACAATGAACTTGTATTGTACCAAGAAGTCCCATGCAACTATGAACAAGACAACGAAAATGAGTTTGACGTCCTTGAATGGTGAAAATTTAATGAACATGTTTTCCATCTTTCGGAATGCTAGCGAGACAAGTTTTATTCATGTCGATTTCAACCGTAACTGCGGAAAAAGAGTTTAGTACTAGCAGCAACATTTTTAACAACTACCCAAGTTGTCTTAGTGCTAAATTGCTTGAGACACTTGTTTGAGACGAAGATTGACTCTTGGCAAGACGTTAAACTTAAGAGTCAGGGTATGACTTCGATACCCATAATTACATGAATGCAACAACAGAGGGAAGTGGTAGTTCTGAGAAATAAATTTCTATTTTTATTTTATATAGTAATTAGATTTTTTAGGTGAGCGATTTATAAGCTTTTTTGAGGATTCTTTTATGGTTCTTTACCTCATCGCTTTTTTTGAACCGTCAAAATATTCAATGTAGTTGTTTTTAAACTATTCATTTTCATTATTTAAATTACAACTACATTCTTAGAAATTATAATTCATTCAAACATTTAATTTAATTTATACTACATAGTTACAATTAAAAAAAACAAGGGAACCGCTGAACCGGCCTGAAACCGGTGTCAGAACTGCCGAATTATGGAACTGACACCGGCTCAGGTAACACTGCAACTGGGTGGCCCTTCCAAAACCAGAATCGGAACCATACCGTGTCCACCCCTACCCCTATGCCAGAACATGAAAGACAGGTTTCCCTTCCCGTTTTTTCGCATTCGATTTTCCTGCATTTCATTTTTTTCGTCTTTTTTGCTTCCTCCTTTCTTTTTTTGTGTGTTGTTTCTTTCTTCTTTCTTCTTTGTTTTTTTTGTGTGTTGTTTCTTTCATCTTTCTTTTTTTTGTGTTGGTTCTTTCTTCTATCTTTTTTTGCTACTTCTTTTCATTTTTTTAATTTTTAGTTTTAAATTGTTTTCTAGTTTTTTAATTTTGATTTTTTGAATTTTTTAGTTTTTTAATTCCTTTTTTATTTTTTGGTTTTGTAAGTTTGTGTTATTTAATTACTCCGTATATTTTATATTGTTAGTTCAATTATTGTAATTTATTTTAATTAAATTAAGTTTTAAAAAATAATATCAAAATTAAAAGGGAAAAGGGGAGGAAAGAGGAGGCACACCCATGAAAGAGAGAAAGTGGAAGGAAAAGCTAAAGCTGATATAACATTGAGTTAGCAGAAAGGGGAAGAGCGGAATAGAGGAATCACACCGCCTAAAAAGGTTTATTTTGTACAAATAAATGAAAGGTACACTTATTTTAAGAAAATTCTCTTTTTTCATTTTTTAAAATTCCAAGATTATGTTTTTAAAAATACAACAGTACACTATTGCAAGAGATATATCTCACTACTTTTAAAATATAATAATTCACAAATTTGATTTTTTATTCGGGAAAAAATAAAATAGAGCAATATCAAAAAACAATTAAGAATACTGCTCGAGAAAAAAAATGAAACTTCAAAAAATAGTAGCAAGCTTTATAAAAAAACTAGTGTCATTTTGGAGAAATAAATTGTAGTTCCATTTCACAACTTTTGTAATGTTATTTTAAAAAACAATTTATACTGAATTATAAAAAATAGGAGTACAAATGGTGTAGTGACATTTATGAAATAATAACAATACTAATAAAAGTGGATTATGAAAAAACAATTTGGAGTGTCGCTCAAGAAAATTTACAATGGAGTACAATTTTCACTATTTTAAAAAAAAATAGTTCCATTTTGGAGAAAATACAATGGAGTACAATTTTTCTAATACTATTTCAAAAAAACTTCTATACCAAATTATCAACTATCGAAAAAATATTTAGTGTCAGTTTGAAAAAGATAGATTTTTTTTCACTATAGTACCATATTATCAATAGACTTTCCAATTTTTTCAAAATACAACTCTTTTTGTTATACAATATTTGTTTTCTAGAGTACAACATTTTTTTCAAAAATAATATATAATACAACTCTTATGAAAATGGTACAATATTTTTTCTCCGAAATGGAAATAATTTTTTATAATTCACTTCAATTTTTTTGTATCAATTTTTTTGAATGACACTCTAAATTAATTTTTGATAATTACTATTGCTATTTTTTCTAAAATGGCACACAAAGCTTGTGAACCATTATATTTAAAAAAAAGTGAGTCAAATCCCTAACAAGAGTATATCATTATATTTTTTGAAGTATAATGTCAAAAAATTAGAATTTTAAAAATAAATGAGTAAAGAAGATTTTGCCCAAAATCTCATTTATTTGTGCAAAAAATGGGAATTTTCAAAAAAATTAATTAGGCTAATGTTAGTTTTTATGGCGAACTAAAACTCGCATACATGCAAAAGGGTGACGCGAAAATTTGTGTGACAATGAAAGTGAGATTGTTTTTTTGAAAGACGCGAAAATGTGAGATTGTTTTTTGAAGGACATGAAAATCTGAGACTATTCAGCTACTTTTTTTTTTACTTTAATCACTTTTCCAATAAGGGCAAAAAAGAAAAGCCAAACCAATTTTTTCCTTCTTTTAGGAGTACAATTTCCGAACAAAGGGAAATAAAAAAGCACATTCCGTTGCCGGGACTTGAACCCGGGTCTCTCGGGTGAGAGCCGAGTATCCTAACCACCTAGACTACAACGGAACGATGTTGTAGTGTATCCCACAGAGAAGATATCAGTGCACAGGCACTAATCACCTTCACAAAAAGAGCATTTGGAGACTCACTTATTCCATTGCTTTCTTTCTTTCTTTTTTTTAAAAGGATGTTTGAATAAATTTCATTAATTAAATGCTCTGGAAATTATTAACAACAAAATCAACTACATTAAAGACATTTTTTTTTGAATCTCTTAATTAATAAATAAAAATAAGAGCGGTACTGCAAATGAAACGTGTGAATCATATTATAACTCGTTCCGTAAACGCTAAGTATTCGGAAATAAGCAAATTAAGGCAAGGGAGAGACTGTTCATCATCTCCCTCCTCGAGGGATCCACTTGCAAACTCTCCATTTTTGATGGATTCATCGATCCGATTATTAAATTATTATTATTATCATTAGAGAAAAGAAAATTAATTAATTGATTAATTAACAAGAACAATAATTAAAAGGAGGAGGAGAAGAAATGGCATATAGATCGGACGAAGACTACGATTATCTGTTCAAGGTGGTGTTGATAGGGGACTCCGGCGTCGGGAAATCCAATCTGTTGTCCCGATTCACGAAGAACGAGTTCAGCTCCGAGTCAAAATCCACCATTGGCGTCGAGTTCGCCACTCGGACCATTCAGGTCGACGATAAGGTCATCAAGGCTCAGATCTGGGACACCGCCGGCCAAGAAAGGTATTTTTTATTTATCATGCATTTATACAGAGTATATATATATATATATATATATATATATATATATATATATATATATATATATATATATATATATATATATATATATATATATATAAATTATTCCCTGTATTGCATCTCAATATAAAAATTACCTGAGAATTTTATTAGATATATCTAGTAAAGGAAATTCAAATATTGTATCTTTATTTTTTGAAAAAACATTATCAGCTCTATAACCTCTATTACAATGGATTCAAACCTATACCTTCTTGTTTTGAAAAAATATTACTCCTACATTCGTATGCAATATACTCTGCATTTTTCATGGCAAACTCTGGTCTTTATAGACTTTGATACATAAAAAGGTTATATTTATTGGGCCATATAAAAAGAAAGAGATTCGATTGTGACACCATAGAAAATATTGGGAATACATATGACACATGGACCTCAAGACCCTAGTAACACAACTCATTTTTTATTTACTTCCTAGTTCTTTAGAAATTCTTTTCTTTCAAATTACTTAAATTTTTGTGCATATCTCAATCTTAGTTTTTGAATATGTAATTTTATTTTTTTTATTTTTATAGCAATCTTAAAATAAAATAAATTCAAAGAACTTAAAATTTTACTTTGTTTTGCATAATATGGTAAATATTTTAGGACGTAAAGAATGTATTTTTGAAAAGACAAAACAATGTTTTAGGACGTAAGGAATCCATCTTAGTCCAATTCTGGGTGTATCGATAATTTGTTTTTGGGTATGCATTTTCATTTATCATTTAATAAAATAAAAATAATTATTTGATCTTTGTAAAACTTTTGATGTATATTTAAATATATAAGTTTATTTTTTTATTTTTATATCAATTTATATACTCTCTCCGTCCACAAATAAACTTCCCGTTGCATGTTACGATGTTTGACTGAAGCTATTTCCAAATCATTTTATATATGAAAAATGATGTAAAATTTAAAAATAAAAATTACATATTAAAAAATTATATCAAAAGATCTACAAAACTAGATGTGACATGACTATATTAGTTTATCAAATGAGTGACAAAAATAGGCCAACAAAGTGAATAAAAATTGACCATGTGAATAGTGAACGAGAAGTTTATTTGTGTACGGAGGAAGTATAAAATCATTTTAAGAGATGAGTTTTTACATTCCGGAGTATAATTTAATTTGCAAAAAGGATGAATCACATCCTAAGATCCTACCTATTCGAAAGTAGAGAGGCTTTAACTAATCAATAATCTGTCGTGACACTAGCTCGGGTATTACCCTATTTTGCACTCTTAGTTACTAAATTCTTTCCATACCATAAGTTTCTTATTTGCTTCTTTATCGTGTTGTGTTCTTTTTGTATTTCTCTTCATCCGTGTTTCTTAAAAACAATTTTTTTACTTTGAAGTAGAGGTAGGATATCTATATACATACCCCTTATTTCCAGACTCTATTTTTGTGGAATGCCAATCTCGAACGCCTTTACACCCTACCCAACATAGTAGTGAGGAGTAAATCACTATATAACTATAGTTTGGACCTTCGGAAGACCTCCCTAGCTCGGTGTGCTTAAAAAGCTATTACATTGGATAAAATTCACACAGGGCCGTTGTTCGGAATTAATCTCGAGATCTCGGACTTAGCACACTTCCTTTAGAACCATCTAAACTACCCGTGCGGGTCTAGATTCTACTTTCGTGGAATTCTACAAAATTATTGTCATTAGAAACATAATTTGGGCCTTTTGGGGTTTCATGTGACAAGGTTTTGTTTGTGTGTTTGTTTTCAAAAAGGTACCGTGCAATTACGAGTGCGTATTACAGAGGAGCGGTGGGAGCCTTACTGGTGTACGACATAACTCGGTAGGTGACGTTCGAGAACGTGCAGCGGTGGCTGAAGGAGCTCCGGGACCACACCGACCAGAACATCGTCGTCATGCTCGCCGGAAACAAGTCCGACCTCCGCCACCTGCGGGCGGTGCCCACGGAGGAGTCCGCGGCCTTCGCCCAGAGGGAGAGCACCTTCTTCATGGAGACCTCCGCCCTGGAGGCTGTCAACGTGGAGACCGCCTTCACCGAGGTGCTGACTCAGATCTACCGCGTCGTCAGCAAGAAGAGCCTCGACGCCGGCGACGACCCGTCGGCGTTGCCCAAGGGGCAGACCATCAACATCGGGAACAGGGACGATGAGCTTTCCGCGGTTAAGAAAACTGGGTGTTGTTCTTCTGGATAATTATTCATTCATTATTAGTAATTCACTATATAGTTTAATGTTCACATTACACAGATTAAGACAAATCTTAGAGTGATGCTCACTTTTTAAAAATTTTCCGTGTTGTGACATTCATATGTGATCTAATTGAAAAAAGAGTGTAAAAACGACTAAAAAGTCGGTGGGTGTTTCGCAGTTGACAAAAGACAAAGTGTGTCAAGGAGGTAAGGTCAGAGTTCAATTTCTGGCAAGAGGTAATTATGCTAACCATAGAGCCTCTACAAGTATCAGGAGCAGACTGTACACTCACAACTAATCTGCGATCAAAGTCTATTTCACTTTCCTCTCAGTGATCGTCTAATTGGGTCTGAGGGAGCCTTCAAAAATGAAGCTCGTTTTTTTTCGTAAACGGGACTAAAAAGAAAAAAAGTAGGTGTATTGAAATTATTAAGAGAGAGTGGAAAAGCGATTAAAAAGATTGAAAAATTGATTTAAAGGTTGAAATGTTATAACAAAAAAAGAAGAATGCGAAATGCCCACCTCTCGCATGTGAGAATATTGTTCGCGCCCCACACCTCGACCCAACAAATTAGTTAGAATATAAATCACGACATAGTCTTAGTTTGGTACTTCGAGACGTTCCGTGCCCAATGCACACAATGAACTATCACACTAGATAATTGATTGCGCTTTCATTGCCGGGAATACGTAGTAATACTTTCAGCATATGAGATTACAAATTTACCCGTGGAAAAAATAAGTACCAAGTATGATATACTCAAGTAAAACACTATTTATTTGTACATAACATGGTTGAAGAGAACAAAAATACACAAGTAAAACACTATTTATTTATTTATTTATTTTTGCTAAAATAGAATTTACAGTACAAATCTATTTTTAGCAAACCCCTTAGAGATGCTTCTATAAATATAACTTGCAGGTAAGTATGACTATACTTTGACGTTCCAAAAAGTAATCAAATGTCCTCAATTTTCTCCATCCCTTTTTAGACTAAAGTTACTTTCAATTCAATCATTTGGAATAGAAGTGTAAAATTTTAAATAAAAAAATTACTCCGTATTTATTCACTTCGCGCTTTCTTTCTATTTCCCAACCTCGGAATCAGGTTGAAACGTTGAATGAACCATCGAGTAGTCATCGTTGAGGACCACATTCCGAGTTCCCAGTCGTTGCGTTGTAATAATGGGTATAGATAAAACCATATATAACTAAAAATCCAGGATCATCAATAGAAGTATTGGACATATAGCTGAAACCAGCTTCTGCAATTACAGCAATCTAAGGCAGCATATTTAAAAAAAACTTGCACAACCCAATAAGGTACTTAGAGTGTACTTTAATATGAAAGAAATAGATTTGACTAGGACCTGGGTAAACAGCTTATTGAATTCTTCAATCAGAACTCATTTCCGCGCTTCGATCTTCTTCTGTTCTTTAGCTGCACAGTATAAATAACAGCATGTGAAATATGGAGTATGATTTGATAAAACTCAAGAGTTTATATCCAACTTAATCCCATGTGTAGTGAACATTTATCCATTTGATATGTGACATTTTTTGAATGTGGTATTCATCGTTAGGTTTGTAAATTGGACACAGTTTACTTGGTTCCAAGTTCAAAGACATATTTGGCTTTGGTTAAGGGCATTTTCATCCACTAATGGTTCACGGCTACCTGCCTTGAATAGCGTACTAAAATCTTCAAACAAAAAACTAGGTGGAGCCAATGACATAAACCAGTTCACTGGACAAAAAGGACCAATAGGCATTGGAGGACGAAATTAAGTCCAAAAAGAGAGTACGATAAAAAATACCAAGAGCTACTAAATAAAAGCCCCAGATTGAGCAATAGGGTATAGTCAAGACTCGAGGGACCAAATAAATTATTGACTCAAAAGTACGAATGAAGCGGAGTAAATTTGACGAGATTCTGAAAAATACAATACCAGCTTTCTCCTCTTCGCGCTTTTTTGCAGCTTCTTCTCTTTGTTTCCTTATCATGGCCAAACGTTCTGCAAGTTCAAGTAAGATCAAAATTTAGGTGGGAAGGAGAAGATTGAAGGTACCATTAACTGATTATAGCATTAACGTGAGTTGCTTCCTTTCCATCTTAATCCCGAATGCAAAGGGCGAAGGGAAAAGTTGAAAACAGGCATGAAAAACAAATTCCAANCCCCCAAAAAAAACACCGCCACCACCGCCTTAATCCCAAGTTCCCAACTGCGTTGGGGTAAGTGGCATGATATTTATAGCATCATTTAATTATCTAATACTCCCTCTTTCCCAACAAAGGCTTCCAAGTTTTCTATAAGGTTTCACTTTCCTTTTAAGGTAAGTCTTGATATGATTGGTGGTTCCTTGTGACCAGACGCTCCAGGATTAGTTACATATAGTGAGATGTTTTTGTTTCACTTTTATGCTTGAGTTCAAAATTAGTCTCTCTACCTTTTCTATGGATGTAAGGTCTGTATACTATATTGGTTGTTGTTTCTTTTTAAGGTAAGAATTGTGTAATTCACATGATTTCTCTCTCCTCTCTGTAGGTCTCAACCACAAAATTTAAGCTTTTGTACTACATATAATTGTGTAGATTCAAATGTGAAACCTTGTTATGAGACAGAGGGAGGTATTATTAACTAACACTATAAATTCATGCAAGAAAATATATTTGCAAAACTCTGTGCATGCACAAATCCAAACAATACTCCCTCCATCCGTCAAAAAATATTGAAGGCTCTCATTTGATCAAGTTAAAGCCTTCTGATTTTAACAAGTTACAACCATGCAAAGTCACAAAATCTTTCATTGTTAAATTAATTAGTTGGTTTAACTAAGGAGGGTGTATTCAATTCGGATTTCATTAGATTATTTTTGAATTTAAAAAGTGTGTGGACTTAGAAAACTATAGACTCCATGTAGAGTTTGGTTGATTGTTTCCAATTGATTTATGTGAATTTTCATTGACTTGAAAGGATTGAAAAATAGACAATTTTCATACACGGATTTCCATAGACTTTGGTGATGGAACTATTTTTTTCTTTTTTTTAAAATTGGGCGCTAGAACTATTAATTAGACACAAAGTATTGTTTTTAATACTTACCTAAAAAATATTTGATGAAAAGAAAGTCTTTCAGTATTCCTAATAAAATAGTGATGAACGCCAAGTACAGTGAGCAAAAAGAACTTATATAAATTGATGAAGCTGCACTTTCTCGTCCTTAGTGATGAGCACTTTTGGCCGATATAGTTGATATTGATGAAGCAATTAGGATGAACAAAGAAAACAACACATTGGTCTTGCAAAACCCTACTGACGGAGAATACTTTAGAAATATGATATGGTTAGAAGAGATTTTGAAGAGTGAAATCTCTTTATATTTTTTAGAAAGAATCCATCAAAATCCATGGAGTATAGAAATTCATGGATTTTGAATACTTAAAGATTGTTTATGACATTTGAAAATCGTAGTTGAATACCTCAAGATTTTAAAAGACTTTTGAAAATCGTAATTGAATACCTCAAAATTTTAAAAGACTTTTTAAAATCGAGATTGAATACTCTCAGATTTTGAAAGTCCAAAAAAATCCTATAAACTCTGCAATCAATACACCCCCCTAAAAGTCTAAGACAACCATTGTAGACGTTCTTGTCATCTTTTTTTGCCCAACTACATGAAGTATTACCTTTAATTCAATGAAATGACTCTTGTGAAACACAATTCTCTATTTTAGGCTGGAATTAGTAGTTAACTTCAACATAATAAACCTAGCGTCAAACACAAATAGATACCTAAATCTTTCTTTGCTTGGTCTGTCTTCCCTTGCTCTTGGAGCTTCATGTACCGTTCATGAGCTTGCTGCTTCTCTATCTCTTCCCTGATCAAGAAAGATTTACATGCAAGATTTTAAATAATAATAATAGTAAGAAAATCATATATCGTGTACAAATAACTTTATACTGTGGTAAGATCCTGATAATTCACACACCTCTCACGTCTTGAAAGTTCGGTGGTTTTATCAATCTGCAAAATAGGAAACACATTTCATAGAAAAAAGTATTTTTAAAATAAAACACTTCATTTTAAAATTAACAGTACAAAGTCAAGATGAGAGCAGGAAAAATAGCCATTTAACTTACATCCACATTTTTTGCTTTCAGATTTTTAGGCCTAACCAAATTAGGATTTTCAATCTGAATGATACCCTGAACACCCTTCTGCTTCTGTTCCACATAACATAACGAAGTTAACAATATAATGTTAGAGAGGTCACACACTCCCTAATGTCCCTATAAGTGGAAAATTAAATGAAACAATAAGAACACTAAAACAGCAATCATAAAGAGAGTGCTTACTTCTGATTCATCCTCTGACTCTTCGAATTCCTCTTCAGACTCAGATCTCTCATCATCCTCAGCTTCTTCCTGAAGAAATTGAAGGAACGAAAATAAGCTGGAATTCCTGGAAATAAGGTATCTCCTCTTTCTTTCTTTTTGCTTAAATTACTCCCTCCGTCAGCTTCTCACTTAACATTTTTTGTTTGTCCAAAAATAAACTTATCATTTCTTTTTAAAGTATTGATTGATTTACTTTTTACTTCCTCTTCATAAATCTCAACCACACAACTTTACTTTTTCTCAAACTCCGTGAAAAAACAAATGAGAAGTTTAATTTGGGACGGAGGGAGTAATTGTGAGATGTGTAACAACTAACAAGGTATCTTAAATTGTCATTGCATAGTACGTATCATATCAAGTGCCAGCCACACCCTTTTTAGCCTTTTATCAGTAAGAAATTATGATGTCGGAAATTCAAATAAATATATTCATTAAAAATACCCGTTTAAAAGTTTTAGGACGACTAGAAGTACCAGCACCTGCAGTATGGACAGAAAATCAAAAAGATAAATTAGGCCTTCATGCACGAGACAACAAAGAGAACAATTAGTACCACTGTCAAAATTCATTAAATATCTTTTCTGAGCCAGCCTATAAATAATTTGGCATACTTCAATCTGTCCTCAAAAGTAAAAACCAGAGTAATTCCCCATACACACAACAAAAAAAATCCAAATACACTCGTCAGGGTTTGAAATAAGCTAAAATCAAAATCTGCATCCTAACACTATGTTTGGTTCAAGGAATTAGAGAGGAAAGGAAACGAAAAAATAATTTCTCTCATTTTCATCACCAAAAAGGAAAGGATCGTGTTTTCCCTCTTCTTAGCTTATCATTTTCTTTTCCTTCCACTTTTCTTATCTTTACCTCTCTAACCAAGCATGTTTTCCATTTCATTTTCTTTGTTTTCCCTATCAAAATCCTTGAAGCAAACATGGTGTAAAAGAATTACAAAAATAGGACCAGAGTCTTCACAATAGCCCTAACCCACTCTCACGGCAATATCAAAAAGACTTAAAATTCCCAAAAAATTCAGAAGCCACCTGAGAAGGATTCATCAAATCTCATCATAAAATCAACGAAATCAGAATCACAAGGCCAGAACATGAAAACAGTGAAGACTATAGCTTTATTAGTACTCCGTGTTATATACAGCTAATTCTTAAACCACAGATCTAAATCGACCAAATACGCGTCAAAACAATACACAAACCCTCAAAGAAAATCCAGATTGTTTTCTAAAATAGCCGCAGGCAAAGAAAGCCTAAGATAGCTGAACTTACTTTCACGCTGATCAAATGATTTTTTAACAAAATAAAAAAGGAATCAAAGGAAACATACGCATCTCCTCTGGAGTGGAGAATTGGCGGCGACCGGTTGGCTTCCCCTTGAACTTTCCTCTCCCCATGGCCGCTTTTGCTTAGTCTTGCAGAGAATTTCCCGGCGGGACAGGAAAGGAGAGACGACCGTCAGGAGCTAAAGAAGGCTTTTGAGTTCTTCTTCTTCACGGCTTGCGGCAAAAAGACGTGGATTTTCGTGTTTATTTCTTAGTATGAGGCTTTGAGCCCCAGTTAGTGGCGTGTTTGGCCGCCGGAAGAATAACTCTATCACAAATTTACAATAACTCTTTGGCCATTTGATTCATTTTAGTTGGCGCTCGAGTATCTTTTTTTTTCGGATCAAATGAAACAAATTTTAATTTTCAACTACATTAAATTTGTGTTATATATTAGTAACACAATGAAATCAATTTACCAAATTTTTTATCAAAGTAAATGTAAGAAAATTATTTTTTATTTGGATTATCAATCTATAGTAATACTTCTTTATATGTAATTTTTATGATACGGTTCTATTGACATTACAAATTAGTGTCTATGGATGACAAAAACACCTATAATGCTCTTGTTCACAAAATTAATAATTCTTACCCCTCTTAACTTCCTAGGTAAACCCTCCAACCAATCCTGACCCGAACCAATTCACTCACCCCGTCAAATACATTTCACAAGTTTAGTTGACTTTAAGATAAAAAATTTAACGTGGAAGTCAAATAAACTTTTGAGTGCAATTGACGGGGTGAGGATGGATTTGAGATTTGAGGGATTAGGGAATAGTAACCATAAATTTTTTAAACGGGGCACTGTAAATGTTCCAAATAAGCAAGTGTCATCCGTTGATTGGATGCCAGTGACAATAAAATTGCCATAATTTTTATTTAATTAATGATTGAAGTATCTCCGATTTAATTTAAAAAATTAAAAATGAACAAATACTCTAAGACATATACCTTTCATCCCAAAAAATAGGCTTGTTGCTACTTGCTATGATGGACTTTCGATAACTTTGGTTTGCATACGCTTTTCAACGGCTCATTTGATAAAATAAAATATTTTTGCCACTACTTATTTTGTAAAACTTTTGACGTACTTTTTATACATGTAATTTATATTTTTTATTTTCATGCCAATTTAAAACTAATTTTAAAAAAAAATATTTTGCATGTTGTTTGAAAGAGGACAATTTTTTAGGAAGAAGGGAGTATTTTTTTGTTGGTTTTGATCATGAATTATGTGTCATATAGATTCTTCCCACGGAATGAAACATGCACATAAACAAGCATCTTATCCCCACTACACTAAAATGAATATATTCACGAATGTAAATGAGTGTAAAAGCTTGTAGTTATTCTGTTTAATTTGGTTTATACTCCCTCCCTCTCATAATTATTTTTCTATTTTTCTTATTTGAAGTGTCCCAAAAATTTCTTCCAAGAGGGAGGGAGTATATTCACTAATAACAATTTGAACACAATGTTGAAAGAAAACAAAGAAATAAGAATTGACATTGCACTCCAAAAGTGTTCATTCATATTTAAAGACAAAAATGTTCCCCACTTGAAAGAATAGAACAGCAAACCAAACAAGGAATGTTTTTATCTTTAAGGATCCATTTGGAATGCTGGAAAATGACCTGTGGAAGTCATTTTCATTAATTTAAGTGTTTGGCTTGACGTTGGAAAATATGGTCAAATGGAAAACAAGGCGAGTCAAAGGGAAAGTCAGCTCCAAAAAACGGAATTCGACTTCACGATAGTATTTCTCTTTCATCCAGCAACATTGTGTGGCCTGACCAAGGCAAAATGGGACTCAGGGTTTACGGACATCAACAAGTCGAGTACAACATCACCTGGGTGCCTGATGTTAAGACCACGTTCGATAAAGCCTGTAAATGCCCGGAGAAATACCACATTATATACAACAGTGATTTAGTGAGATTTGGATTAACTATGATTCCATTACATTGTCATTGCACATGACCAAACTATGAGTTAAATTAGAACGTACCGGGAGACAAGTCCTTCCCATTATATAGCTCTTTGGTTAGAGGGTTTGATGCCCAGTGATTGACTGCAACTCGGCTTGTTGGTTGGAACCCAACAACCTTTCCATCCATAGACAGCACTACCTATTTTGTATAGTAGCAGAACGCTTGCAGGTTACAAACGCGGGACTATATTGACTCAAAGAAAACCAAAGAAAGTAAAATTATCATGTTGCGTGGTTAGTAAGGTAATTGGTGAGGAAATTTCTTTTTGAATTACATGGATTTTTCTCAAGAGAGGAGGGATAGATAGGGAGAGAGGGAGTTTAACTGAATGAGGTCACCAAAATGGAAGGAAAAGGACTTTTCCATATTTACATTAAATTTTCCTCGCCTTTTCGTTTCCTCATCATTTTTCTTTTCTTTTTCTTTCTAATCAAACACCAAAAAGTCTATTCCTCATAATTTACTTTTATTTTCCCTTCCAACTTCCTTGAACCAAACACACAGTTTAAGACATGCAAACTTGTCTGACGCTAGTCGCAGACTCCAAAAACCTGTCCAATCTTGATGTTCCTAATACCACTAATCTCGAAATTCATGTTTAGGTGCTACGCCTCTATCGAAAACCTTTACTTATGCCCTTAGATTGGCCCTAAATAACCCATCTAGGCCCTAACTAAGCCCACCTCTAGGCTCTATTTCAGGCTAGAGACTGCCTAACCACTCTTTGAATACTCAACATTAAAAAGTCAAAAAGAAACATGACACAAATAAATCAACCCACATAAAACATCAAAAGCGAGACCTGATAGTTGGCGATGTCTTGTGCAGATGCATTAACTTCATTATTTTCCAAGATTCTGGGATTAGACTCAACTTCCATGATGCTTCCAAGGCATTTTGGGATTTCTCCAATCCAAGCGTTGCAGCCAGATGTCCTAATTTCTCCAGGCCAACCAAGAGAACTCTTGATCCTTCTAACAACCGAAACACAGCAGGCTTCCAGCTGTAGAAATGAGAAAATTACAACAATGTTCAATGGAACAATGTATTATGCGAACGGATGAACATTGTATGTGATTGATGACGTAACAATAGATGAAAGCATGGAAATCATGGAAACTAGCTGATACAGTTAGGGCCCGATTGGAAATTAGAAAATACTAGGGAATGAACACTTGGACTAAATATAGGAGAAACTTAAAACGAAAGAAAATGTGTGGGAAAATACAACACTTGTTCAAACTCAACAAATTAATTTTTGAAATTTTCTCAATTCATATCATTTATCTATTTCTATTTCATATACTAGAGAAATCTAATACTCCTTATTTGTATTTAAAAATTATCATATCTTATTCTCCTTTAAATTTTCCAAGGTAAAATTGAACACATGAAACCAACTTTCCATGTATGTGTCGATTTTCTTTCCCCAAACATATTCTCAAGACCAAATATTCGTTTAAATTTGATCTTTTCCTACAAATTTACACATTTAACTTTCAGAGACGAGTGACGCGTCGACCTCAAAATGGTGAGAAATGAATTGCGTATGAGAAGAATTGTGGGATTTTAGTTCATACAGTAGCGGACTTATAATAATTAAAATTAAATGAACGGTCCCAATTAAACAACTTAGGCCCTGTTCTTTTGGGTTGGAAAAATTAACTTTTTCCAACTCTTTTCAGTTTCTTCCAACTCCTTTCAGTTCCTTCCAACAACGACTTAAAAAGGTATTTATATATGATGAACATACAATAACATTATATATCTAAATTTATAACATATCGCCTCAAACACGGAGAAGGATGAATTCTTTTTTATCCAAAACTAGAGTTTTCTTGCATATTCATTTGAGTGATCATTTAATTGAGTGACTTTTTAACACTTTAACTCTTCTAACACTTTCCAACTCTTTCCAGATTCTTCTAACATCCAACTCTGAAATTCCAACCCAAAAGAACAAGACCTAAATAACAGAGAAAGGCATAACCCCATGACTTAAGACAATAGACATTACCGATTTAGACATACCTTGCTAGGCTCCATAAAGCAATTCCGAACATAGTTCATGTCATAAGAATGAAGGGAACGAATTTCTTGAGTTTGAGGTTTGCTCCTATTTGGCACATGTTGCATGTAAATGTGACATAGCGCTTTGAGAGAAACTATAAAAATCCCACTAGCAAGGACAATAGATAGCCATTTCAAAAAAGAAAAGCTTCCCTGTGAATAATACGGAGTAAGAGAGAAATCTTAACAATTCATTTGAAATTTCTCACAAAAGCAGGCTCAAAATGTCACAAGATGATGGTATTATGCACTTGTAAGTAGAAGTAAAAAAGTGATACAGAGTATATTATATATACCACATAGCCAACCCATCAAAATGAAAAAGGCGGAGATGGAAAGACAAAAGGTTATACCGCTATACACTCACTTAAATAAGATCTCAACAAAAAATAGGTGCATTACATGAGGTTATTGACTAAGGTTATTTTAATTCCAATTTATTTAAAAAGTGGTGTACATTAAATTAAAAAAATTATATATAGAAACCATGTCAATGTTGTACAAACCAAAGGTGACATGACTATATTATTTGATCAAATGAATAACAAAAATAGGCAAAGAAAGATGATGAAATTTGCCCATGTGAATGGTGAATGGGTCAAGTACAAAGAAACAGAGAAAGTATTAATTGTGGGGGATATTTAAAGAGCATGAATCATTATTGGATAAGGAAACTTCACTAACTAAAAGGAAAAGATATGGAAGGTACTAATTGTAATAGAAATAGGAAACTAATTAAAGAAGTTGTTTCAATCCCAAGCATATATCTCAATTATGGTTTGGTAAACCTATCCGACTAATCAGAATAAATAGTTTCCATATTGATGAACATAACTTTAAATTATATGTTACACCTTATGTTCATATAACTTTTCTGTCAAGTCTCAACAAAAATGTTCGTAATATAATTAACTCTCAATATTAAACTTGAAACTCTCATTCGATCTTACTCCGTATATGATTTATACGGAGTATTATCTTAGATTCTTAGTACAAGACTACAGGTAAGAGTTGATACTAGCTCAATAAGTCGTCAATTTAAACTGAGTTCATACACAAACCAAAGTTGCTAACAAATTAAACTAAAACAAAAAATAAATGTATGCTGAGCCGGCATGAATAAATAAGAAAATCAGCCTAAACCATACCAATCTCGACCCGAGTCTACACCTAGACTGACAAGAATATTCTAGTTTCAGGTTCCTGATATCACTTACTGCATAATATTGATGAGTAATTCCCCTCTTACTCTATGTTTGGTTGGGTGGGAGGGGAAGGGGAGGGAAGGGGAGCCCATTCCTTTGTTTGCTTAAAAAATTGGAGGAGAGGGAACCTAAAGTTTTAAGTCTAAATCCCTCCCCTCCCCTCCAAATCGCCACCCCCAAATCGGAGGGATTGTCTCTCGGCTCTCTCCCATCTTCTTTGTTATCTTCTATATTCTTTTCTTCCTCTCTCTCTCTCTCACTCTCCCTCTCCTTTGCTTCGTATCTCTCCTCTCTTCTTCCTTCGAATCTTCTCTCTGTTATTCTTCTTCATCTTCTTTGTTTTTTCTCTCTCTTTCTTCATTGTTGCTTTCAGCCTTGCAGATCCAAGCAGCATGTATTTCTTTTCTCTGCTTTAGACGATTAAATTGATGCTTGCCATTTATGTATTTGGGAAGTTGTATACAGAAAAAAGATTGATTGATAAGGATTAGTTTTGACAATTTTTAGAAAGAATTCCCTGTGCTTCAAGATTGGATTCTGTCCTTCCCCTCCTCCAACCAAACAATAGAGAGGAAAACCCTCCCATCACTTCCCATTCCTTCCCATCCATCCCCTTCCCCCCATCAAAACAGACCCTTATTGATGACACGTCTTTATAGAAAACAAACTGTGAAATTAAATTATGCATGCAATACCTTAGAAGTAGAGAGCTTCACGGGTTTCAAAATTACACCAGAAGACAGTTGTTTGGAAGGGAGTGTATACACATCTTCATAGTACATATCCAGAATGTCGGCCAAACCAACCTATAGTAGTTGAGTAAGAGTGAGTGTCCATTAATATAAAGTAGAAGAGCTGGCTGCCAGGCTTAACACATAAAATATTCATTATTATGCCTAACCAAAATGAAGCAAGTTAATTTTCAAAAAGAGCAGTGAAAACGGAAGAGAATGAAATTTAGCATTTCACCTCCTGCCAATATAAATAATCCAGATAGAAGGAAAGATAAGGTACCATTTGAGAATGAGTCAAAAAGACCTCGTGCAACTTTGAATCCAATTCCCTCCACCCCTCAAGTTTCACATTCCTCAGTTTATCAGTGTTAATTTGCAACAAGTAAGAAGGAACATATTCACTAGCCCAAGCAGCAAATTCAGGACCACCAATCTGTTCCAACTTCAGGTGTGCTGGTGATGCCAGCCAATTGATCTTCCTGTATGTTTCTTTTGGCTTATATTTTCCAACTCCTAAACGAAATCTTTCCAACAAAGTTCTTGCATTTGCAACTACCTCATTTTCAAATAAGTTATACAAAATGACTGAGGAATCTTTTGATACAACCCTTTTAGGTGAACGCAACCACGGGACGAAGTCATTTGACTGACTTGCTAATGAGTTGGGAGAAAAACGCCTTTGGGTGCTTTCAAGAGAAGAAATGCAAATAACTTCTGCTAGTACAGAAATGAGATGTTCATCGGAGGAGTTGAGGATGAAAGATGCAGGTACCTGTTGATGGGAAAGTAATAACAGAACTCAACCTATCAGTAATCACGTGGTACCTGCAGGACAGACATGTTACATGTGATATTACAACAGAGTAAATGGGCTGCAATGAGACAAGAAATGGGGTAAAGAAAACTAAAAGGAAGTCTGCCAAATCCAAAGAAAAACTAACCTCTCTTGGGTTGTCAAGTTCATCCATTGTTCTTTCTGTTCCAGGTCTAAACAAAATCAGTTCAAAGTTCAAAAGCTGCTGCAAAATTACTTGCCTAAACGTCATGGCGAGAATATTTTTTGATGTTGTGCTGGACAGGATATCTTTGGTAACAGAGCTTTTAAGCTTTTTTGCTTTTTCCTTAACTTTTATAGCTGGTAAGAACTGTCAAAAGACACAGGGATTAAGTGATGTTGCACAAGTGGAAAGGAAAATCCATGGAGGCAACATTTATTGCTAAAAAACTGTCAATAACTATAAGATCAATCATATGATTTATCATACAATATTGATATACCCATTTTACCAAAAACAACAACAAAACCCAGTATAATCATGACTCCATTGAGGTTTGAGAGGATCAAGATGTACATATCCTTACCCCTATGAAAAGGGAGAGGTTGATTCAGGTAGACCGCTGACACAATGCTGCATTCAACTGGTGTTTGGTAAATGATATTTTGATGGGGATTATGCTATTTTTAGTATTTCGGCCCATAACACAATTTTTTTTACTGGTCAAAATTCCGAAAGAGGTGCTTGATAATTCAGCATTTTGAATTACCATTATGTTTAGCAAAATGGTTATTGAATTAGCATTATGCTAGGCAAAATGCTGAATTCAATATCCAGACAGCATCAGCATTTTGAAAAGTACATTTTGATATTGGCATTTTAGTTTTAGCATAACGCTGAGTTTTAACTGTTTTTTTCTTTCACTCAATGCGTTTCCATCTTTTGCTAATACAAACTGTTATCTCCTAAGTCCTACCTAACTGCTATATGCTAAGAGTTGTTTGACAACTACATACTTACTACCCAGAACTTCATAGAAAGTAAAGAAAGGAAGTTTAAGACCATTTAAACAAAAACATATTTGAATATTCATAATACTTCCTCAGTTTGAGCTAGGCACTTATATTTTTCCAGGTAATCCAAAGTAAAAATAAGTGAAAAGGAGCTGTTTTAAGCACTAAATTGTGATTGAATATTGGTGACATAAGCCCCATTTACGATTTTATTCATCAGGCGTCTAAGTCTAACCAAGTTGCTTTTTACGATTTCATGCCCTAAGTTATGACTGAATATAAATTTTAGAGCCGTGTTTATTCAAGGTGAAATGAGAAACCCCTCTCTGGCAGTCTAGTGTCTAAAATGTTTTGAATACAAATTACTCAGGGACTAAAACTATGGTTTTCCCCAACATAAACAAGAAAAGTAATCATTGGTTAACATCAGGAGAATTTTCATTGGTTCGTGTATTCCGCCTATTACTATGTGATTAAGAATTGGTAATAGAATAAATGACATTACAACAATTGAAAAAATTTCATTTTTCTGTGCATAAACGCACAGAAAAAAACGCAGGGAAATTACAGGTAATTGGAGATTATTAAACATAATGCGTAATGGGTTTTTTTGGTATAAAAAGGTCTAACCAGTCTGGTTGAAATAGTGCTGCGATCACTAGATTCGCCAGGGAAAAATGTCTGGACGACCATGGCCGGCAAGCCAGATTGGATGTGGTCGCCCGCAGCCTCTCCCCCATCGGCAGCCGCCGCCGTAACAGCCTGCTGAAAGTCGACGGAGCCATCCAGTGTCAACCGAACGAGGTCGTTCTCGTAAACCCGCACTGCCGGAATCAATTTCTCGGTTCCATCGAGCTCTGACATGACTTCGAGAATGGCTTGCTCTGTAGTTGGAATGCTGCGCTCCCGAGCCGTGCAGAAGAAGGTGAGATTGGAAGCTTTTCTGGTTATGAAGGTTCGCTTGGGGAATGTGAAGAAGAAATTTCTGGATAGAGCTCGAGTGGGAGAGGAAATGAGAGGAGTTGAAGGAGATGAAGTATATGAGAACGCCATGGATGGAGCTCGGAATGTGGAGCAAGGGTTTAAACTTTGTTTTTATTTGAAAAAAATTAAGTTGAATTCTAGTTTTTAACTTTTTTTTTTATTTTTAACTTCTTCTTCCAGTTTCTTCTCATAACGATTTAAAGTTGGTATTTATATATGATGAATATAAAATAACATTATATACTCCCTCCGTCCTAAAACCTTCTTCTCGATTTGATTTTTTCTCATTTTTAAAGGGTTGTATAATTAGGCTTTGACTTTCCATTTTACCCTTCTAACAAAAAAAATTAGAATTTGAAAAAAAAGGCAATTAGGGAAAAAAGCACACAAAACATTACATTACAATTCAAGTATAAGTACAATTAAACATAAACAAGGACAGCCTCCTTGTAAGGCAAGAATCAGAAAATCAACCATTACAATTCCTCCAATTAATCTGGACGGAAATCAAGAGCAGTACCATTACAGTTCCTCCAAAATTCAGTTTGGAGGGAAACCTTTAGAAGTTTCTCTCCAACACAAAAAGAAAAACAAGAGCATTACTACACTATATAAAAAGCAAACCTTTTTACTTTTAGTAACCCTAATAATCTTCCTGCTTCTCCTCTCTTCAAATCAATTATGCCCCCTCATGTGGCAGATTCTCCTGCTCCTCTCTCTCACCATTATGCTTTCAATGTTTCCCCTACTCCCTCTTTCAACCCAAGCCGTCATTAGAATCTACAAAGTGAACATCAAGAAAATACAAAAAGACTTTCCAACGCACAAAGACAAAGAATTGTTGAAGCCATTCTACCATATTCAAAAAAGAAAACCTCAGGGCAGTACACAGCTCAGAAAGGAATTATCAGCAAAGTTACTGCAGATTTGAATGTTTCAAAGATAGTAGGTGACATATGGAGCAGAGCTAGAAAACAACTACTAGAGGGTGTTGCCATTGATGTGAAAAGCAGAATTCCAGTGAATACACGCAGAAAAAGAGTTTCTATAGACATTGAGTCCATTGGAAACACTCCTCTCTGTCCTCACTGTGTAATGAATCGATATTCTCTCTCTCCGTTCTCAAGCCTCTCATCTTCGGGCTTCATCCCTTGATAATACTCAGAGATTTGAGATTCATCTAGTAACTGAATCTCAGAAATCCAAGAATCCATATCAAGGTTGGGGATGAAGATTAGATCTAGGGTTTTGTGGGAGAAGAAATTTACACAGACACGAATAGAGGGTGAGACGGAGAGGGGCGAGGAGGAGAGACACAGAGTTGGCGAAGAGAAGAGATGCAGAAACGGCGAGATGGAGAGACAAACAGCGAAGAGTCTAGGAGTAGAGATAAGGTTGTGGTGTAAATGTGGAGTTACTGTGGTGGTTGGAGTAAATAAGTAAGGTGGGGGTATTTTAGACACTACACACCCTTTTTAAGTGTGTGGGAAGATAGTTTTAGGACGGGAAAAAAGGGAAAGTGAGAAGAACGTTTTAGGACGGAGGGAGTATCAAAATTTATAATATATCACCTCAAAATTCTTTTTTATTCAAAATTAAAATTTTTTTACATATATATTTAATGATCATTTAATTAAATGACTTTTTAACATTTTAATTCTTTTACTATTTTTAAACTTCTTCCAATTTATTTCAATATCTTATTCTAAAATTCTAACCCAAAAAAACAAGGCCTTATAAGCATTCTGAATACTAATATAGGATAGGGGACACGAAGTAAAAAGAAAAAAATTGAAAATAATTTTTCTTAGTAAATTAAAAACACAGAAAAAAATGGAGTAAAAAAAGAAGGTAGAATATAATATACTAAGAAAAGGAAATTAGATTTTTTTATAACTTGGGTGAGAATAGAGATTTGACACTTAATGACTGACAAAAATTGTTATCACAAAAATTGTTATCACAAAAATTGTTCTCAAGACAAAATAAAAAATGTAAACTCATAAATCCATAATACTATTGTTAAATAGGAACAAGTGATACATTTCAGAAAGGTGAAGAAAATCTAAATCTCAAGATTGAAGATTCAAAGCATAAAGGAAGTAATTTGCTTGTCTTCTTCACCTCCAAATGCAACAGCATAAGCCTAATGTTAAAGTAAAATGCATCTTACATGAAACATCATGAGACAGAAGAGTTGAGAATTAGCAAAAATGGTGACAAATAGCATTATTGCTCCATAAAATATTTCATTCATCTGTACAGTATTATGTCAATGACATTTATTTACAAATAAACAAAGGTTTCTTCATAAACATCGATCCGCTGTGAAGCCGAGCAGAAAAAGGCGCGACTAACAAAGCAGACTAGAAACGCACGGCGCTTTGACATTTCACGTTAGATTAATGGAGCCATTTGGCTTTATAGCTATTTCTGCAAATTCTGAAATTAAAAAAAAAAACTCATCCCAGAAACAGGCAAGAGCGTTGCATTTGTTTTAGATTCTGAAAAAACCGATTGCTGATTCTGGTTCTCCGAATCTGTTTTTTCATGAAGTGATTCTCAAGAATCAACTAATTCTGAAACGGCTGATTCCGAGAACAAGAATTAGCAAAAGAGAAGAATCAAAGCCAAATGCACCCTAATAGTACCCGCTCATACTGTCAATAAGATAGTCATATGGTGCTGCGGTAGGGTACCCATGCCCTTCAGAAACGGGCATCAAGTTGGCATTTTTCGTCCTACCATTCGCAGGGAAATGTTTGTTTTCCGGAGGATAAACTGCCGCGAGTCCAACCATTTGCTTTTGCAGATCAACAACAGACGCTGTGCTTACCTTTCCCTTTGGGATCTTCTTCCCATCCACAAGCTTTAGTTCCAATCTGTATAGGGCACACGTGTCGTACTTGTTGATCTCGTATTCGTAGAGGTGCCACTCCAGGTTTTTCATAGGCTGTGGGTCCATGTAATAAGACCTCTTCAGTCCCCCAAACTCGTTCATAACCTGCTTTCTCGATTCGTGCCACCCCCGTCCGTTATAATCAGGCAATGACCTTTGCTTTCGGTTTCCACTCTCAAATGCTCTTCGGGGCATGTCAAAGAACAGCCATTCCCTTATCGTTTCACCCTCGACCACTTCAAGATCAAATAGCTCTGCAGATCATAAAGTTAAGGAATTTGACATTAAATTCGAGAAATATAAGTGCAAGTGTTTGGTGACATTCATTTCAGCCAAATGAGTCACAAGGTAGCTTAAAACCTTATTGAGAAGGTACTTTTGTGAATATTTTGATCTCAAACGCATTTCTTCAAATAAACAAGTCATTCTAAACTTAGGGTCTATTTGGGAAGAGGCAAATGACTTTCGGGAATCATTTTCTTATATTGCGGGGTTCGGTTATTCCGGAAAATAGGAGTCAGCAAAATCACCAAGTCAACAGAAACTGAGCCTTATTTGGGGGGAAATAATTTATGTTTTTCGGCGGAAGACATTTTCCATCATTCACCTACTTGAATTGAAACTTGCCATGTTTTATCATGTAGTTTTTTTCATTTTCCAAACTTTCAACCATACAAAAAAATGAATTTATTTTCTGCAAATCTTTTTCCAACACTCATTTTCCATCTTTCCATAGGGACCCTTACCTTTGTGTTACGTTGGCTTTTATAGAGTTCACAACCGCTTTTGGCCAAAACTACCGTTATTTGTTTGGGGTTGCATTAGGGCAAGAAGAATAGTTTTCCCACTGCAAACGTTATCCCAAATGTGACCTATATTTTACTAATAAAAAGAATATGCCAGTTTTGGCTACCAAACACGGCCAAGCAATAACAGAGACTTCTCACCAGGTGCATTCCATGGGGACTTTGCAGTTGCGGCGCCCTCACAATCAGGAATACCAACATCCTTTCCATGTGCTTTCGCACTAAGAGCTTGAAAGAGCAAATTGTCCTTTAAGCCAATACCCATTGGTCTTAAAATTGGGGGATGTCCAGGGTACCCTTCGTTTGGAGCAAGGGAAGCGTGGTAGTCACTGCAGTAGTCCTGGGACTTCTGACACCAGTCTGACGCCATTGCAGGTCTCGGGCAATCCCAGAGGGCACACTTTGGCCCCAAAAAGGCAGAAGGTGGAGGGCTAACATGAACTAAGGGCAGGGCACCCTCTAGGCAAAGGGTCACAGCATCGAAGCCAGTAAAGTAGCGCTGCCCATATTGCTGACGAAATTCAAATGATTGATAATCTAACTCTGCTGGAATGCCCATATTGTCGATTCGGACACTGTTGACACTTGCGGTATTGTTCTTGCATTGATCAACCAGCTGGAATTGTTGTCCTTGAATTATTTGAGTAGCATTGAAACCCTGAGGCATATATATAATATGTAATTACCTTATTACCCTAGACAATATGCTACCAAATCCCGATTTTAAAAAACAAAGGCAAATAAAGATGTTGGAAAATGACTTATGACAAATTTCATTAAACTCATGAATAAATTTCTTACTCAACAGTTTCTGCTTCAGAGTGTCTAAATATTGCTTTTGGAATATCCCTAAAAATTATATATGTACCTCTTGATAACCAGCAGCATCAAGCTTTTGTGCATCAGGTTCATGCTTGGGTTCAGCTAAAGCACTGATGGCATCATCTTCCTCCTCACCAATGTGTACCAGCCTACAAAGGTCTGATGTGTTAAACCCCAGACTCCCTCCCTGAAATCAAAAGTGTCAACGCATGCATTCCAAAATATACACATTAAAATATAAAAAAGAAACACATGACAATAACACCAAACCCAGAAAAATCCCACTAAAGTAGGGTCTGGTGAGGGTGTGTAGGCAGATCTTACTCCTACTATGAAGTAGGGAGACTGTTTTCAAGAAACTCTCGGCTCATACAAAGAAACACATGACACCGTACCATAAAAGAAAATATAAGCTCAAATGAATTATCTCCAGTAAAGAACTGCACATATTCAGGTTCATATCCACAATAAATATCTACACACAAACATCTACAATAGAGACCAGCATTGTTAGGATCATGTGTTGGTCGTAAGATCCAATGATCCTACATGTTGCCATGTTGGCAGAGGTTACTTTATCTGAATCCCAGATAGGATCGAAAAGTTCTGCACTTGTTTCGGATTGCTGATTTGGGTTGTAAGAACTTGGATTCGGGTTGGGTCATAGGTTATGAGCCCAGATCCAAGAACACCTCACACTTTTTAAAACCTCCAAAGCGTCAAGACCTAGCAAAAATGTCATATCACTTCTCAAGATTCTTCACTTTTAAGCATCTTGGAATTGTTCTCTGCAACTATCTACTGGACTGGCGCTCCGTGACCTGGTAATGAGTCATCTTCTCTCCCCTCTTTTCTCATCTTTCTCTGGTTTCTTCTCTCTTCAATTTCTTCTCAGTCAAAACTCAAAGTTTTCTTCTTCTCTCTCACTCTCTACTTCTCTAGTTGTATAAGGTCATGCAGTAGAGGTACACAACAAGTACCTCTCTACTCTTGTGACTTCATAAGTTATTATTAATATGGATGAAATATTACTATGATTTTTAAATTTAAGTTGTTATAGAGGTATATACTTAAATTTTACATACAAACTATTAGCTAGGAGCCAAAGATATTATGATCCGGGTTACGATACAAGAGTTATGAGTTTTTACTCTGTTCGATCCTACCTAGGATTTCAAATTTAACAACCTTGATAGACACCAAGATCTTACCTTCACGTGATGTCCCGTGTATGGATATAAAACTCAGATGGTAAATGAGTAATTAATAATAATAACAACAACAATAACAATAATAATAACAACAACAACAAGAATAAAAATAATAATCAAGATTAATAATAATATCATATATGCAATTATTTACGGCAAGCATTCATATATATTCCTTAGAATTGCAGGCATATCTACTCTGTGAAGTTTGCATTGATATGCAAAGCGGTAGTCATTACTTAATTAAAGATAGAGCTTATACAGTCAACACTATGTTATAAGAGTATAAGAAAATCTGTTTAAATCTTCAACTAGCTGATCATAGACAAAATAAATAGGTGATCACACACAATAAATGTCCATGGGTGGTTTGGGTACGTAAGGAGAAGAAGTTTAGAGGCCTAGAGAAGAGATGTGTGAGACTCGTGGTAGTAAGCGCAAGAAGGGGTAGAGTTAGACCTAGAAAAAAGTTGGAAATAGGTGATTAGACAAGATTCATGACTACGAGAATACATTTAATTTCTTGGGTTCCGAAAACTTTGTGTTACTGGATTTGTTGGGATTTTACCGGATTTGTTGTTGACGTTGTATCTGTTAAAGTGGAATAATAATTTTTCTGTACCTGCAAAGAGGAAGCTGGAGAAGGCTCATTCAGCTCCGCCTTCCATTCACGGAGCATCTGATTAAGCTGCTCCTCAAGAACCGCCACCTGAATAGTACGGCTCTCCTTCCTAAGGGACTGCATGTCAGTGAGCATCCCTTGCAGATCATCTACCCTATTCTTAGCCCTATCCTTGAAGATCTGGTATGATGCTGACCTGCCCGCAATGCTCCTCGAACCCTTTCCCATCTCTAAACAAAACCCTCACCTGCAAAATCCACACATGAACACCTTTTATTCCCAGCATACCAAGTTGAATTTCACACATAGCACAAAAAAAAAGTTTAAACTGCAAAATTCACGCATGAACATCCAAATTTACGCATTTTGAAGTCTTAATACTGATATGGAAGGTAAAATAATTTCCCTAAAATTTAAAGAGAAAATTCAAAAAATGTCAAAAAAAATACATTCTTGCCTATGTTTTTCTGAAAAGAAACTTACAAATGCATTTTTGTTTCTCCAAAAAAAAATCTGATACCACTCCCTATGTATCCAAAAGAAATTCATACTTTCTTATCCATTTCAATTTTTTTTAAAAAAAGAATTAACTTCTCTGCTTTCCTATCAAGAAAATAAATGTGTCTTCTCTTTCAAACAAAATTCAACCATACACTATCTCATTGTTCAAAGCTATTCTTAAAACCCTGAAACTAAACTATCAATTTCTTCTGGAAATGGAGGGAATACATGGGTATCTTAAAATCCAATGATTTTTTTCCACAAGGCTTAAATTTATTGAAGTGAAATGAGATCAAGATGTAATTTTTAACTGAAAAGTGTTGAGCTAAAATAAGCTCAACTGGGAATAAGTCAAAAAAAGAAAAACTCAGAACCAAAGAAACTGCATTTCCATAAACACCCAATTTCTAAACCTTGACTTAAATCCATATAAGCAGCACGAAAAGAAATTATGAAATGGGTCCAAATCAAACAAATGATACAAGCAATTCAGTACCAGTCACATATCCTGCTCTTTATTCCGAAGAAATTTATAAAACAAAAAGGCGATCGTAGAGAACAAAGTACCTTGGGACTCTGAGAGAGAGAGAGAGAGAGATGTGTGAGAGAGTTTCTCTCTTCTGCTATTCTGGTTTTTTCTACACAGCACAGACCTAAAGACGAATAAGAAAAAGGAATGGGGAAGAAAGAGGAATGTGATGCGCGGCAAAATCAATGAAGATCTGATGTGGTTGGTCGGTGGAAGTCACACTTTGTCTGTTTTTTTATGGGAGGGGTAATGGAGGATGTAAGCTATTTTTCACATTTGGTTATCTATATTCATTTTCGAGTAGTTAAATACTCATTTTTTAGCGTAACTAAAGTTTGAAACATAAATATTCGACTATTCGAAAATAAGTATTTAGTTATTCAATCAAAAATAGTACTTGTAGCAGATTGTACGATATATATTGCCGGATAATGGAGGGTGTAGACTAATTTTAAAACTTCTTCTGAATCAAATGGATTATAATATTTGAATTATGATGTAAACCCAAAGTTTTTAAAATTTATTTTATTTAAAAAAGGGAAAAGATTAAAATAAGAGTAAAACTTAGAAAATTACCAAATTGAGTGTTCTATGTGTTTAATTCTAAAATAAGAGTTAAAATACATATACAATGTCAATCGTGTCAATATATAATACCAAAAAGTGTTGTGAAATATTCATATAAAGCGTCACATTATCACAATATAAACTTCTATTTTAGAATAAAAACATGAAGTTTCTATCTTGATATTCTCTCCATGTTTTGCTCCTATTTAAGGTGATTTTTTTAAATTTGATATAAGTACACAAAATAAAACTTGCATATTAAAAGATTATGAAAAAAATTATACAAAATAAGAGATGATATAAAAAATCTAATTTATCAAACAATTAATAAAAACACCTAAATAAACAATATTATTGAGAGGCGAGAAAAAACACAAAAGGAATATTATGTGTTTTTATGGATAATCATTATCACAATTGTATTTGTTTATCTCAAAAGCACAAAGTGTTGAAATCTGGTCTTAAATAAAGCACATATTTGTAGAAATTTTATTTTGAATTTTTTGTAGTTATTTAAATGGATTAGATTCAAAATAAAAAGTCCAGTCTTAAAAAAAAATACTCCGTATGTCTCTCATAACATTTCCTTGTTTTAGTACAAATTTTAAGCATTTTTTCACTTTTAAGACTTTTCTTAATGGAACAAAACTATAAATTTCATATTTGTAACAAATGGAGTACTAACTTTGAGAATAACTATTGGCTTTGGTTTTTCAGTTTTCTCAATGAAAGCATCTCCAAACACAACCAACTTCGAAAATTTGTATGTTTGTATGTTTTTTTTAGCTAAGATATCTTATTTTATATCTGGATTCTTTATGTGATGAAGTTATAAATTTATACAAGAGTGATTTAAAAAATGTATTTATATGAATTTTTGTTCAAATCTCGTAAATAAAATGATTTATATTGGAACGGAAAGAGTACTATCTTTATCCAAATATCCATACTCCATAATGTTTCGATCCAATTTTCTTATCTGTCATTGTTGTAATAAGTTGAATGAATGTAAAGGGCATATTGAAACAATGATTCTTTTATCAATAGTGATCTTTTGACCTTGGATTCCAAGATCATTTTATAATCCTGGCACGCACATTGGTCCATTAGAAAAATCGATGGAACCTACCCCTACACTCCCCCTAACTCACCCCCCCAACAGAACACTGTAGGTGAAAATAATCATTTCTTTTTTTATAATGTACTTCGTACATAATATTAGTATCTATAATTGTGTTGTACTCCATAACTCTTAACCTACCGTCTCTTTTCAAAACACCCACTAATACTGATGTCAAACAAGGCCTTAGTTTAATATTGAATAGCCTCTCTTGCCTTTATTATAAATCTATAGACGAGACAATGGTCAATGGATAGGTTATACAAGACAAAGATAATGAGACACATGACGTATAAATAGCCAACAAGAAAATATGACTTTAACCTCAAGGAGCATCAGAGACCATTCACACACAATCATTGTCTATGACACTAATGGTGTCAATGCGAAGAAGACGAATGACAAATCAACACGAAACCAAATAGACCAAAACCAAACCGAGCGAATTGTAGGTGGTCCGGCTAGCAATTTAACATTTAGATTGGAAAAACCCACCAAAACCATCTGAAACCAACACCAAAAAATATCTGAGACCAAAAATGACTTTAAGCAACTCGATTCGGTTTTGGTTTCACGCTTACCAAACCGAACCCGAACCGATCAAAGAGAGCATCCTGACCTATATCAATCAGCAGGGGGGAGTACTTCATTTATTATTACAGAAAATTACTCACGGGTGATGCGAGTTTTGTCGAAATAACTCTCAGGTCCCTTTATTTTCAAGAAGACAACGGAGGTCCTTACATTTTGTTGTAATGACTGGCAGGGGACATTCCATCCAATATTTCAACCATAAACGTTAATAAATGTATTTCTTCCTAGTTTTTTCCTTAATGTTTTATGGTAATAACTCTTAGGTCGCTCCTTTTTTTATTTCTTTGTTTTTCTTTTTTGTTACTGTTTTTTAAAGTATTTTTTTAAAATTTCTTCTATAAAATCATATAAAAATTCAAAATTATTTGTATGATATAAAAATAAATGAAATAAAAAATTTTCTAAAAAAGAAAAACTGAGTAATGGCAAAATAGGAAAAAATGGTAATGGCAAAATAGGAAAAAATGTATTTATTAACTCTTATGGATAAAGTATAGGATGAAATGTCACCTCCCAATCATTACAACAAAATGTAAGGGCCTCTGTCGTCTTTTTGAAAATAGAGGGACCTGAGAGTTATTTCGATAAAATTCACGTCACCCATGAGTAATTTTTTGTTATTATTACGGAGTATTATTTTTATGTGAAAAGCAAAAGCATAAATTGTTGAGAGTAAGAAAGGCATAAAGGGCACACCCCATTACCATCTCCAAGATTCTCTTGTAAGTCAATTCTTGATGCACCTTGGAATGGGAACCCTTCACTCCACAGTGCAAAAAAAGATTGGATGAAATATATTACTCCATAGCTTTTCCAGATAGGGGAGCATCTGGAATATCTTCATCATCATAATCAGTATCAAATGCCAAAACCCAAAGACTGAAGAAATAAAATTGTCTCATCTTTTATTGGACTCTCTCATATGCCTACCAAAATGTGCTCTATATGATGTAATCCATGATTCCGTGGAATCCGGAAAGCTGTTAAGGATTTGAAGAAGATGAGGACGATGAACTTGAAGCTTTTTAAGTTTCTTTTTTTCTGGTGCAATATATCAAGTTCCGAAAAAAATTTACGAGTGTATATTATATAGGGATTCTCCCTTTGTTGCAATTTCTGTGGTAGAAATGGATTGGCCACATCCCGAATTCGGGTTTATTTTACCATGATCGCCAATAAGAGCTGAGCTAAGTTCTGAGCTCTTTTTCATCAGTAATGGGGAAGTAGGGCCAAAGAATGGAAGGAAAAATATTGATATTTTGCAGTAAGGGTTTTGTGAGATAAAAGACAGGTCATTCTGACTTGGTAGCTTGTTCAGTCAAGGGCAATTTGAATTTGAATACACCGGCAAGCCCCCTCCCCCGAGCTAGTTGTTCGAGCTCTTCGATTTTGCGTTTAAGCTCTTCAATTTCCCTAGCCATTGCTTCCTCTCGAAGCCTCACTTGCTGGAACCATAACATGCATTAAGGTATTAGTTGAATGCAATATACAGTTAAGGCAGTTTGTGGGTATCAATAGAACAACAACACACCCACTAAAATCCCACAAAAAGTAAGATCTGAGGAGAGAGTGTGTCCGCTACCCCTACTAGGAAGTAGTTTGTGGATATTCATATAAGCACAGAGAAACACTACAAAATCAAACTTTTTATGATACGAGTATAGTGCAAGCATAGATGGTTGTCTAAACACGAAGAAATGAGTCAGGGAAACAAATCAAAACAATCGACACTTTACCTCCATCTCGTGTCGGCGGAGCTCCTCCTTCTTAGCTTCTGATCGAGCACTACGTTGCACTTCAAAGATAAGAGCTGCTACAGCCACCTAGTAATGATTTTAGTGTAAAAGTTAGCACACACATGTTAAAAGACATAAATTTGAGTAGTATTATTTTGCTCAATAGTTGCAACAATAAAGAAAAGGTAAATATGCTCTGAGAAGTGAGAACTCATGTTACCAATATAAATGTGATCTATTTATGTTTACTAAAAATCAAAAGAAAAACGAAAACGAGAAACAAGTTGCATATCAATTCTGAGTCTGGGTAAAAATTTGACTCACTGAACCACATAGGATAAAAATACATATGAGTAATAGATTCATAATCAAATGTTGTCATTTCATGGCAGGGGAACCACTCTGAGATTTGGTTTTTAATATATTATCCATTGGATTAGGCTTAAACAGAATAAATGCAAAACACAAAAAATGTGAGTTTAAATTCCTAAAAAGCATTGCAGCAAACTGGGAGTTTAAACTCATTGAATTTGACTTTATAAGCCAATTCGAATTCTCATTAGTTCCAATGGTAATATAAGCAAATGACATACCTTAGACAAATCTTTGTGTCCAGATTCATATGAAACATGTCACATTCAAAACTACTTACCGAATAAGATATTTGATCAAAAGAGTGACCAAGTCTAACACATTCAGCATTTGTATGCTACCAGATAACTTGAAATTTTAAATGCAACTACCTCTGTCCCAAAATAAAAGACAGTTCGGTTTACGATGGACGATGGTTGACAGAATCTACTTTCAATTCATTTTAAAACTGGTGTAGAAATGAATTATAAATTTATATATTTAAAAATTACATCAAAACTTCTAAAAACCAAGAGGTGACATGACTATATTATTTGTTCAAATTATTGATGAAAATATGTAAAGAAATAAAGTATAGTTTGATCATGTCAATAGTAACTCCATCTATTATTTGAAATACATTCCAGCATCATTGCAACCATATAATGTCAATATGACACTATCATTTCAAACTTGGAATGCATCACCATATGAAGAATATATTTTCATACACATTACCCAATGAGTTGATTAAAATCTTTCCTTAGAATAGATTTGAGTACAAACAAGGGCATGAGGGAAACATACAAACACCTAATGTAAAGGTAAATAGAAAGGTACCTACCGAAAAAATGAAAAATTCTCCAAGAAGATCTACAGCATTCTGCACGGCTTTCTCCTCATTCAACGGTCGAATTTCAACATCAGTTGCATGACCATAGATACGCCTTTGCATTGTTGTGGTGATTCTGTGGTTTGCCTGGATACAACAAATCATATATACATACACACACACACACACACACACACACATATAAGATGATTTAAAAAATCCTCACTTGCCGTGATATCAAGTTTTTCAAAAAAATCAACAAAGCTGGAACAAATAAGTGTTTGCCAATTCTTCCAGACCAACAACTCTGTCATCGAGTCATCAACTAATCTAAAACCTTAACGAATTTAGTCATCTATTGATGCTGAAAGCAATTGCAAAGTTGCAAACTGATGGCATCCTTCTCCGTTTCAGTACAAATAAGAAAGCTTTTATTCACCTGATCACCTCTACCAAATATGCCTCTGCGAAGGTTTTCCAAACAGGAAACTAAGTATACTTATAATAGTGATAGTTGACTACCCCCTCCATTCCAAAAACAAATTCCACTTTACTTACTCATCCATCCCAAAGTAAACTTCTCACTTTCTTAGTTTCTTTTTCTCCTTAAAAAGAAAAGACAAATGGGGTTCAAGACACTTTTCTCTTCTCTAAATAAATTCCACCCACACTTTTATTTTCAACACATTTCTTTCACCAACTTATATCTTTTAACTCCCTCAGTTCTCAATTAGGTGTTTTGTAATGAACTCTGAACGTACGAACTTCAGTCTACAAAAATTGAAATGTGCATTGTTTCATTTGGCAAACTTCTGTTCTACATTTCTCTGCCTACAAATCTCAGTCCACTAAATCACTTCTCTATCCTTAAATATTTCAAATATTCAATGCTACAACCAAACTCTCCAGAGCATCCATCTACATGTATCTTCAACAACAACAACAAAACTCATCCGTCCCAAAAAAAAGTCTAATTGAAAGACTTACTTTTGTCCCAAAAAGAGTCTTTTTTGAACAAAAAGACAACTTTCCACTATATCAAATGCTTTTTAATAAAAAAAACATGTCCCAAACAAGTTACAGATTTAAATTTAGCTAAATTGACAAATAAATTAGAAGTATAGCTATACATCTATAATTGATTATTTCTGATTATTGTACCTCATTAAAATAAGAAGTTTCACCTTAGAGTGAGAGGGTAACATACTAACATACCAATGGGGAAGAGTAAACTCACACCTTAAATGGCTAATTGGCTAAATCTGTACCATCTTACCCAAATTTGATAAATCCACTTTCTAAATGGGTCTTTTGGCAATTTACCCCTTGAACTCTTCAAAAATTACATGAATTTCTCCTGAACTTTAAAAATGGAACCAGTGGTCCCTGACCTTTTAAAAACATTGCATCAATTGTCTCTCTGCGTCAGATTTGGGAGCGCGTTAATCACAGAATCATTATACTTGTTGGAGCTTGATGAAGATGTCATGGATTGATGAAAAGGTTGATCAATTGATGAAGAGCTTGATTGACTAATGCCTAGACTTCAAATTCGATAATCGACGGCTAAAGAGTGATTGCATGAATATTTATCTAGACTTTCAAGAGGTTTGAAATATAGAAAATAAAGAAAATAATGTTCGAGAAAACATATTGCAGAACTCACGTGCAATATATGAGTTTAGATGAATCCACACTTGCACTGGCGAACGTGTGATTAACGTACACCTAAATCTAACCCATTGATGCAACGTTTTTGAAAGTTCATAGACTATTAGTGCAGTTTTTAAAGTTAAGAGGAAATATGTACAATTTTTGAAGAGTTCGGGGTTAAATGGCGCAAAAAAACTCCTTTCTACACTTGAAGAATATGTGTAGCATAGAGAGTAAGTTTAGCAAATCTGGGTGAAAGGTGTGGATCTAAGTCATTAAGATCGTGTGGATTTGGTGATGACACAAAATGAAAATCACACAAACAAACATCTACAAATATAAAATGTTAATACCTGAGCAATGTTGATGATGAAATTCCGGAACTTGGGGTGTCGTCCGGCTTCCTTCTTGAGCCGGGCGGCAATGGGTTTACTCATCGTCTTCAGCGCGAGCGTCCCGAGCTTGATAAGTGGAAGCATTATTGTTACCTGCTTCAATCAACAGTCTCTATTTCTCCAGATCTTGGGACTCTTAAGGAATCGCGAAACCCAATCGTATCCCTAAATGCCTTTGCCCATTCATAATGTGTGGATGATGATGAAGTGAAACCAGTAGAATTTGACCGATTCCGGACTGCGTTTGATTTCTTGGTGAGGAAGACAGAATCCGTGTGGGTAGAGTTCCGCTAATGAAGGAGAAGAAAGTTAGTTTATACAATTCAATTAAAACGGGTTCAGTCTGCAAGTAAGTAGGGTGACATTTTTTCCAATGGCAAGTGGAGTAATTGTTATTGTCAATTTTCACATTTTTTATAACATATTTTAATTATTAAAAGTTATTTTACTTGCCTTTTTTCATAAAAATAGATGTACTTCTTTTTAAAAAAATCTTCTTTTTTTACACAAAAAATTAAAAAAATTTCTTCCGTTCTAAAATTAACTTCCCAATTCTATGAACATAATCGTATATTACGAAAAAAATACATTGAATTTTCATATAAATTTATTAGCAATAGATTCATTTTAAAATGTAGTTTTCAAATATATAATTTTTATAAAATATATTTATATAAAAATTAAGATATTGATGGTTAAAGTGTCGCATTGGAGACCGTGAAAAGTCAAATGAGAAGTTAATTTTATGACGGAGGGAGTAGAAGCAAAGAGACCGGAACATGTTGCCAGCGTTGATGCTATAATAAGAGGATGAGGACAAATATTCTCCAAAAGGTGAAATCGCTCACCCCGGGCGCCCCTCACCCCCGACCCGACGGGAATGTGAGAAGAGATAAATCACGGTGACCCAAGCAACAACACTTAGCTAGACCATATCCTAGTGCGCACCAGAGACTCCCCCCATTTTTCAGAGGTGGTCGCCCCCACAACGGTCGCTGCCAGGTTTCGATCCTTGGTCATTCTCCAAACTTCACCAAGTGCTTGCCACTTGGGCTACCCGTGCGGGTAGGATGAGGACAAATATTGAATATAGTGGGATGATATGTGTCATAGTGGCAGGTTATTATTTTTGTATTTTTAAATTTTTAAAAGTTATATTGAGTAGCAAAAAAAAGTAAAAATATACAAACGTAAAAAGAAAAAAATTATCAGAAAAAAAGAAGAAAAAATACAAACTTGGTTTGATTGGTGAGTGGTGACTCGCACGTGCCTTGCTCTCCATAGAGAAATGCTATACCACACCACGCCAAGGAAGGTAAATAGTGTGTTGGCAAATGATGTGGCATGCGAGGCAATAAAACAACTCTTGATCATGCTCTTGAATGCCCAACACATAAACAAAAAAGAAAGTCATATTTTTGACAAAATAAATTAGTGGGTGAGATGTTTTTCTAAATTAATGTTACATCATTTTAGTTTTTTTGGGTGACATGTAAATATTATTGAAATTCAAATACAAAGAATACACAAGTAAAACGGGCATGTCCAATCAACGAAAATGTTTATATAGGTTGAGGCACTGACTTAAACTAGAACAAGCACAGAGACTATTGGACAAACCAAGGCACGTTAGCCTTAATTAATGAAAAGCGAGAAATCCAAGAGGCCTAATGAGAAGACATAAATCTAAAAGACAAGGCTCGCAAGTCACTGCCAAAAAAAGACATGCATGCCAAAAACAATATTCATAAATATGTCAATAACAAAAACATGGTTCGCTGGCCAAATCGAGGGCACACATACATTGGAAAGAAACCAAGCGTCGTCAAAGCCAAAATGCACAAAGGTTGACCAAACCCACCAACAATCTAGAAAAGAAATCAAAACAGAAGTCAACTCAAAATCACGCATGCAAGCTAGCATCAATGCCCAAACCACAAATGCTAATAAGACCAACGTCAAGGCACCAACCGAGAGGAACCACTCAAGCTAAGGCTCAAGCTCCAAAACAAAAGCCAATGGATATAGCCTAAGACCATGCCAGGCGCCAGCTACAAGAAGAAACTAAAGGAGAAGGAAAAGAGGAAAAGAAAACGGCTGGGGAAGAGCAAAGGGAGAGGAAGAGAAAAGAAGAAGAAAGGAACGAAGAGAAAAAGGAGAATGAAAGGAAGAGGACGAAAACAAAATGGTTTATTTATTATTTTATTTTTTAGAGATTCATATTTGGAAGTCAATTGGGTGGCGAGAAAGTAATACCATGAAAATATATAAATTGTTAGATAGATTGTGTCATTTATTGAATTTTGAAGTACTCTTGTAAAACAGATAGTTTTTTTTGGAGTAGATATATAAAATTTGTGTTTTTTTAATTAAATGGATATTGATATTGTACAAAAGTTTTCTTTTAAACATTTCTATATTATATTTCTTTAAGTAAACATAAACTATAGACATTTATACAAATTTTAGTTTTTTATAAATTATATTAATTTCATATAAAAATTATTATACAATGATATTATGTGGATGGGTGATGAGATTCAATGGACAACGAATTTCTATAATAATAAGAGTTATTATTATTAACAAGTTTCAAGAAGAGGGAAGTGAGTGAATAGTGATGGGATGTAGGCAACTATGCTAAGCATGTAGTATATGCAAGTATCATGATATAAGCAACTATGCAAGTTTCAAGAAGGGGGCAAATTTCATTTTTTGCCACTAATTCATGATCAAAGTTCAATTTACATCCTCACAGTGATTGTTCGGTCAGATCTGAGAGGGTCATCGGGGATGAGGCTCGTCATTTTTGAGCGGAACACCATAGTCATTGTTGTCATAATATGACAATAGAATTTATCGTCAAAAGAATCCAACCGTTATTATTATTATGTTAAAAGTGAGAGTAATTTTTAAATCTCTATTAGTTGTTTTCCATTTTTCTAAAAAAAAGACAAAACACAAACTTTGTTGACTTGTAGTTATCTTTATTATACAAGAATGCCTCGTACCCAGTATTGGCTAGAATATGAGTCATTTGATTTATATTATAACGATCAAAACCAATCAAATTTTTGCAACCGTTCATCCGAAGAGCTTAATCATGCTCCCTTTGAACTTTTAAACACTCCATAGAAGTCAAAGGCTATTCAATTACACGCCTAACCAAACACTACACCATAATTCTCAAAACTCCATTACAACATTAAGACAACTAAGTAAAATTATAATGTGGAAACACCGCACAACTTTTAATTTGACACTTACTTTGAGTATCAACACATGATATCAACTACATGTAGGACATCTACGATGTTCCGTTCGTAAAATTATTTATTTCTACACCCTAAATCTTTTACACACCGTCCCATTCCTCTTCGAATCATCAATTGACTATATGAATTTAATGTAGCCAATCACCGATCCAATAGGGAGGAGAGGTTGGGTTGAGATGCATGGGGCAGGAGTTAAAATGTAAAAAATCATCAATTTTATAAACATTAGGTAATTTAAAAATACAGTGGCACCATAGTGTAACGAAACCACACCGCTCCTAAATTATAAATCTTTATAAATTTTTAGTCGATTGATTTGGGTTCTTCAAGTACATGCGTGTCACCGTGTTACATAATAGCAATATCTCAGAACTTGCTAACTTTTTATATTACCCTAATTCATTTTTGTAACAGACATAAATTTACAGAAATCCATAAAATATACTCCCTCCGCCTCCATAGATCTCCCATTACACGTTACGAGACTTAATCAATTTTATTTTTGATTTAATTTATTTGATTGTAAGTATACAATTTAAAAATAAAATTTATATAGTAAAAAATTACTTGAAAAGTCCTACAAAACAAGATGTGGGTAGAAAAAATAAGCAAACAAAGTGAGTTAATTTTAATTACATGAACGATGTCTGAAAAGATCTATGGAGCACGAGATGAGTATTTTGTGAACCCATATATTTAAGAATAAAAATGAGGTCTAAGGACAATTCAACTTTGGCCTAAATATTTTTAGCACATCATTTGTAAGTGACAGAGGGTCAATTCTGTTCAACTCATGTTTTCGAGTTATTACAGACTCTTATCAAAATCTAATCAAATTTAACAAGATAAGATCAGATTTAATCAGACGAGAAACATCTCTAAATAAAACTTCAATAAAATCAAATCCGATTCAATCAAATTGGATCAAACCTAATCAAATCCGATTAGATTATGTCAGACTATATCTTTAAAAAATAAGATCAGATCATACCAGACGAACCGAAACACGACCAAAATGAATGAATTTTTATGAAATGACATACTCCATATCCTATATATATATGTAAAAGAGAGTTTAGTTGTTGCAATGTTGACATGTGGCATGCCACATGTGCATCCACATGTGCACNTATATTCTCTAATGATGTATCATTATGCATGTAACTGATCCACTTTTTATTATAATATTTTATTGATTCAAACCATTTCTATTTAGTACTTAATTCAATGATTATTAATTTTGTAAAATTGTTTTTTTAAATTAACATACCAATATACTCTGTATGTTCCATCAGTCTAAAACATTTTTTGTCACTATTAGAAACTAAAACAACTAAAATTATATTTATAAAATCTCAAAAGTTTAGAATATATACGAGCCCGTGCGAAGCACGGGGTAAACACTAGTTTCAAATAAAATGCTTGGGCTGTAAAAGAAGAGTGGCCCATAAACACGGTTCACAGTCCCTAGTTGGATTATACGGAGAGAAGGCAAACAAAAGATTTCCCAAAAAACCCAGCAAATATTATCGTGCATGATAGAGTCCAAATAAACAACGCACAAGAAATGATTTGAGGAAAAAAAAGATTCCTTTTTTATTTTTAAAGAAAATCTCAAATCCCCAAAAAAGGCGTCACATGAACGATTGATTCATCTCGTAAATACGGAGTAAATGAGCCTGAAATTTCATACGGAAAATTCATAGATTTCAATGTTTCTTTATCAAAAAGACTGAAAAACTTCAAGTCAAAAATCGGGGGAGAAAATTGAAATAAAAAGGGAAAAAAGAAATAAAAGCATCGAAGATAAAAAGAAAAAACATGGAATTTCTTGGCGGAGTTGTTCTTCTACTGTTTCTATTTGGTGTTTCTTACCCTTATAATAACAATTCTTTAATATTCTTCTTACCAATTCTGCTTCCTCTCCCTGTCATCTCTCTTCTTTCGTGTTTAATATGTTTGCTCGACCCGATTTTTCCCCGTTTGTGTGTTCTTGGCCGCCGCGATCGGGTCGTCTGTAGGGATTTCAACATCGGTAGGGTTGGGCGTGTTGTTCGGCCATCGAATCGTTTGTTTTTGCTTGAGGAATCTAGGGTTTGCGAGCTTCCGTTGATCGGTGATGGAGGGTGGTTCTGAAGGAGAGAGCAACAGGAACGTTCATCAGAGCCCTTCTGATGGCCAGCCAAAGAAACCCAAGCGCCAGATGAAGACTCCTTTCCAACTGGAAACCCTAGAAAAAGTCTATGCAAGTATGTTTGTTTCTGCATTTTTGTGTGTTTTGATGCTGTGTGTGTGGGTACTTTTATGTAAAAAAAGGGATTTTTAGACGATTCTGCTAGTTTTTCCTCATGCATGTGTTAAATTTCGCTGAGACGATTGTTTACGGACAAGAATACCTGTATTTTAACGAAGGCTTTGGAATCTGAACTTCCTTTTGTTTCAATGGAGTTTATCAGCTTCTAACGATCCATTGTGCTGAAATGTAGTATACTCTGTAGAGTATTTTTATGCAAGGTGATCAGTGAAAGATGTTAACTTTATGTTAGCGTAGGTGAGACGAAGTTTATATTTGGAAATTTTGACCTTTCCCAATACATGCAGGCAGAAGTTTGTGTTCTTGTTTTTTAATGGATAGTCAAGGTTTTAGATCTCGTTGATGGTTATGGTGTGGATATTTCGTATGTCCGAAGTATATGCCACCCTACATAATAATCATTTTGAATATTCTTATACTTTTTCTGACTTTGCAGTGGAAACTTACCCAGCTGAAGCAATTCGAGCAGAGCTATCAGTGAAATTAGGGTTGACTGATCGGCAGTTGCAGATGTGGTTTTGTCACAGGAGATTAAAGGATAAGAAAGAAGCTGCAGGGGTGGCTGCAATGAAGCCACGCGTGGGACCTAATGATGGTGTGAGTGGTAAGAGGAGTTTCACAGAATCAATCAGAGAAGAAGTCGCAATTACCGAGGTTGGTACTGATCGTAGGTCTGGATCTGGATCTGGTTCCGGGTCTAGTCAGTTTGATAATGGAAGAGCCATGCCAAGCGCGCCAATGAGGTACTATGAGTCACCTAGAGCAGCAAAAGAGCGTAAGATTATTGCTTGCATTGAGTCACAGCTGGGAGAGCCTTTACGGAAAGATGGACCTATTCTTGGTGTGGAGTTTGATGAACTTCCACCTGGCGCATTTGGTGCTCCGATCGGTACTTCTACGTCTATTATTTTTAGAAATTTCTGATCTTTATTGCTCATTTTTTATTTGTGCTATCCTGCTTGGTAAATATACATCTTTTTACTTGAAAGACAGAACTTAAGATTAATGAAGAAATTCATAGATCTTTTATGTGTGGATGCACGTATTGACTTGTTCTTTATTTAGATTGTAAAGGACTTCATAATAATGGAATCCCATTCTCATTCTCATTTCTTAAATGGGAGGCTTTCCCATTGCCTCATTGCATGTTTGATTGTGTTTGTTTTGTGCACAATACAACCCTGGCTGCTAAGGTAACAACTAAAGCAAAGAATTATGTTTTCCTTGGTTATTCCCGACTCCAAAACGGTTATTGATGCTGCTCTTTGTAGCTAAAACAAGGATTTGGGTCGCCACATGTCACCTTTGTCTAGTCTGTTTTTCTCTTTGCTATCCCTCGTCATATGAGCATTCATCAACCTTTGAATACTTTCGCTGTTCCCAACTATCCACACAATAATAACCTCGGCTTTTACCCTACTAGTCCCAGATGGTATTTCCTAATCGCTACAGGTTATCATTATTGGCCACACCTTAAAACAATGGCTCGTAATGACTCATCCAACTTTTATAACTCTTAAAGTGCATTTATTTTGTTGTATTTGTAGAACATATTGTCATAGCAAGAAACGACTTTGAAGGCACCAAAGAGCTAAAAGCACACCGATTTAATATATTCCAAACAAAATAATCTGGGAAGCTATGTACAGAGTATTTTATAGGAATTGAGGTGGCCCACTATAAAAATTGTAAAATCCTTCCACGGATGAAGTATGCTCTAGACATCAAGGATGAAGATGAAGCATGGTTGACATTAAACCCATTGAGAACCCCATGGATACCAATGTCGAGCTTTTACCAGAACAGACCGACTTATTATTGCGTCCAAAACAATAGGCCCATTGGAAGGTCAAATTATCTTACACACGCCTGACTCGATATTTCATTGGGAGTGAGTGTACTTTACAAGTTCTTAGATTTTGCTTGCAATACACATTAGGATTATGTGATACACCTCTTGAGATATACATTAGAGGTATTACGTCAATGAATACTATATGAAGACAAAGGACAATCAAATTGTTGCGTATTCAAATGCTGATTGGACACAATCTCCAGCTGGCACGTGATCTACTTTGGGGTATTGTATCTTTATATGAGAGAACTTATTGTTTTTGGAAAAAAAGAATTGTTGTTTGTTCTAGTGCAAAAGCAGAGTATTGTGCTATGATGTTGGCAGTGTGTTACTATATGACTGAAACACCTTTTTCAGGAATTGCAATTATCTTCACATCACATGACAGTAATATGTGACAACCAAAGGGAAAAAACACATCGAAATTAATTGTCACATCATTAGAAAACAAATAACTTGTGGCTACATTGCTACTAGATTTGTTAATTCTAGATTCTTAGATCGCTCAAACATTTTAGTTAGGTCGGGTTCAGGTTCGAATGATTTTGGGTTAGGGTGGTTTGGTGTTCAAGTTGAGAGATGTTTGTTCTCGACTACAATGTTTGGCTTTAGGTCAACCATATAGGTTCATATTGTTTAATTTTGAAATATTCAAACGAATCTTAGCTTTTGTCATTTACATAATAAAGTTATAAATCATATTAGTCTAAGCTATACCAAAACAGACTCTTTGTTAATCTTGACCCTAGGCCCTTATGGAGTCAGGATAGTTGTCTCTATAAAGTAATTATTATGGAATAATAAGAAGTTATTATTCTAAAAGTGTGGCTATTGTCTCTATAAAGTTATTATAGAGAAAATCATAGCTTTTAATCATATAAAGATGTTACAAAGACTAAACGACAATAAAACATTATTTAAAACTCATTAGAATAGAAAGTAGTAAACATTTGAAAGGAATAATAAGAATACAAATGTGATAATATGGTTTTTATGACTATATTTCATATGAAAGTGCATCAGTTAGAAATTATCTTACCTCAAAGAGCTGAAACACATTTTTAGCGGTCATTTGAAGTTCAGCCACTTTCAGTTTAGGGTCATCAAGTCTTTGTTCAAAACCCAATATTTTTGGGTTGTGTCTCAGGTAAAGAACATGTTGAGTGCACTGATCATCTAGCTACATATTCACTAAGGCTCTCAAAGGGCATCAAATTGATTATATTTGCAACAAACTTGACATCAACTTATAAGCTCTAGCGTGAGAGGAGTGTAGAAACTAGTAAGCATTGCTTTGCTCACCACGAGATATTGACATCATTGTTTTCTTCATCAAGGCATCATTGCTTAACTCACCATGATTTTTTACCCATTTTGTACAAATCAAACCGGTATAACTCACTCCATCTTATTCTTTCACAGTGCTAAGTAAACATCTATCTTTTTACTTGAAAAGTAGAAGTAAGTTAAGACAGTCATGGAAAAATTCTTAGATCTTTATGGTTTTATGTGTGTATATACATATTAATGTGTTCTGTATTTAGATTCTAAAGGACAATTGTAGCTTTATCCAACACAATTGTAGTTTCTGTTTATATGTGTATGTATTTAGGTGGTTTTTATTTAATTTGTAAAGCATTGAGTTCATTTTTATATCGTGTTTACAGTTTTACACATCCAAGGAGCTGTCATGAATTATTTATGACTCTAATATTAAATTTTACAAATATCATTTGAAAGATTTGGGTCAAACGAGATTATACCAAATGAGGCAGATTTACTTGGAATAAAGATTGTTGCATGAGTAACTCTTGAAATTCCAACTTTTGATTGACACACACTACAGTATTTTGCTGACTTGTATTATTATTTGTTGGATATGGAACAGGTCCAATGGCACACCGGGAGCATTACAGGCATTCCTATGATACCAATCTGTTCGGGCCATACGAGACTAACCAATATAATGTTTGTTCTTGGTTCTATCTAGTCTCTATGTGTGTTTTACAATTTTTTCTTCATCTGTGAAGTGGTTATAACTATAATCTGATCAAGGTTATTATGAATTTTAGAGTTTGTTATAGATAGTTTATTCCCCTATTGTCTTTCTTTTTCCTAGGGGATGCCTATAGCCTTTTAGTCTTTCCTTTCATTTGTTCACATTCTTTGAAAATGTTTAGACCTATATCACTGTCTACTGAAGCCAGAAAAGAATTTGTTAAGGGTGGTACAGCATACTGCTTGCCTTATATTTGTCCACCTTTTTGAAAAACTATTTGTTTAATAATCTTACTTTTAGATATTTACTGCATGTGTTGTCCTTGAAAGTTAAGAAGGCATCTTTAAAGTTCTTTATGTATCATTTCTAAAAGCTTGTATGCACCTTATTTTTAGGCTTTACCAAGTTCTTTCCCCGATCCTTCCGAGACAAAGATAAGATCTGACAAATGCAACCAAATTGCCCCATCTTACCTCTATGATTCATCTGTTAGAGCCCCTGCTTCAAAACCTTCCACAGTTACACAGGGCAATGTGTATTTTTCGAGGGAGTATGGTGTTGAAAGTCATGTTTCAACTGTTAGTATATTGCCTCAACATGGCTGCCAAGGACAATTTACATCTCCGACTAGAGAAAGTGCTCTTATTGCTGCTACTAATGAAGGTCCCTTGCGAATGGATCTTGAACGCAAGGTTTGTTTGGTATATCTCGAGTTACGAAGTCCCAATGACCATAGTTTTAGATTCCTTACAAGTATTTGAACTGTTTTAGAATGATGAAGCTAGAATAGAAAGGGAAGCTCAAGCTCATGAAAAAAGGATAAAAAAAGAACTGGAAAAACAAGATCTTTTGAGGAGAAAGGTATGCCTTATGAATTCTTGAAGCCTTTAAAATTATGGTTACACCCTTGGGGTCACATGTTAAAGTGTTACTTCTTAAATCTGATATTATCCTTTTTTATTTATCCATTAAGAGGGAAGAACAAATGAAGAAGGAAATGGAAAGACTGGAGCGTGAAAGAAAGAAGGAAGAACAGAGGTTATTACGGGAGCAACAGAAGAAGGAAGAGAGATTTCAGCGTGAGGAAAAGCGTGAAATGGAAAGACGGGAGAAATTTTTGCAGAAAGAGATTTTGAGGGTATGCTTGAAGCTTGAGGGGGGCTCTATATTTTAGTTTCTTTAGTTGAACTTAGTGTATGCAGTGGCTAATAGGTATGATATTGTTTTTTTCATTTTGGCTTAGGCTGAGAGGAAAAGACAGAAAGAAGAGCTTCGCAGAGAGAGAGAAGCAGCTAAACAGAAGGCTTCATTGGAGAAGGCAGCAGCACGGAAGTTTGCCAAGGAATCCATGGAGTTAATTGAAGATGAACGTTTGGAACTAATGGAATTGGCTGTTTCCAGCAAGGGCTTATCATCGATTGCTTCTCTTGATTATGACACACTGCAGAACCTTGAGTCATATCGAGGTAAATGTATCCTGATTTGCTGGATCAATCAAGTGCGAGTGGGTTTCGAGTAAAAAGTTTTGTAGTTAGTACTCCGTAGTTTCTTAGAAAAAAGACTTTTCTTTAGTTTTCAGTAAATTTATTAACATCTCATTGTTAAATTCTTTGGTCTTTAATGCAGAATTTCTGTGTGACTTTCCCCCAAAGTGTATAGAAATGAAAAGTCCATTCTCTTGTCATCCATGGATTGATACACAGGAGAACATTGGGAATGTCCTCATGGTACACTACTACAACTATGACTACATGTTCTTTGTTTTCCTTTGTCACTGTGTTCAGAGTGTAGTTCATCTCCGTAAATGTGTGGCCTGCTTGGAAGAAATGTGGAAAACTCAAAACCAAATGTTTTCAAATTAAGAAACAAATTGAAAGCATTTGAGCATATTCACTCCAGTTTCCAAATTTGCATTTTTTGTTTTTGTTTTCCAATTGGGAAAACCTTTTTCCAACACATTCCAAATTCTATTTTTGACATCATTTTCTTATGTAACCGGTGATGGTTGTCGTGGTGAGGGCTATTGGTGATGTTCACGGACAGTTTTTGCCATAGGTCATTGGTGGTGGCGGTTATATTGAGTTTTGTATCAGACTCTTTCTAAATTGAACAAATTCCATCCAAATTATTTGCACTTTGCAGGCTTGGAGATTCTGTATAAATTTTGCAGATGTTCTTGAGCTCTGGCCTTTTACACTCGATGAATTTGTACAAGCTTTTCATGACTATGTGAGTTTCTTGCAATTTCATTTTCCATGAAATTCTGTTCACACACACACACACACACACACACACACACACACACACATACATACATACATACATGAATTCCGTTGTCTATGTATTTTTTAATTAATCAGGATTCAAGATTGCTGAGCGAGATATGTATTGCTCTGTTGAAATTAATCATAAAAGATATTGAAGATGTTGTGAGAACACCTTCTGGTGGGCCTGGTACGAACCAGTACAGTGCTGTCAACCCAGAAGGTGGACATCCTTTAATAGTTGAAGGGGTAATTTTTCATTTGGCACTTCAATTTAGTTATTTTGTTTTATATTCCTATGTTGGTTGTAGAGATCTTTTTGATATTTGTTAACTTTGACAGGCCTATATCTGGGGGTTTGACATCTGCAACTGGAAAAAGCACTTAAACCCTTTGACATGGCCCGAAGTACTGAGGCAATTCGCACTTTCAGCAGGTTTCGGACCCCAGTTGAAGAAGAAGAAGAATAAAGAACAGGCTGTCTTGAATGATTATGAAGAGGTACTTTTGCTTTCTTTCTCCATATCATTTTCTGGTTTTATCTTCTTTTGAATACAGTTATGTGTAATTTGTAAATGATTGCTTCAACAATTTGTCTAAGGGATCATGACTCCTGGGAATACATTGATATATGAAAGTGAAATCCTTTTGCAGTGCATTTGCTTTGCTCTGAATTGACCAAACCCTCTCTCCTTGCTTCCACCATATACCTTTGGTTAACAGGATTTAGGACGGAAGGGGTGATATTTATCTTATTAATTTATTCTTACGTTTAGATTGTTGGAAAGTGAATAAACTATATAGAATCATTGAAATACGTGATTTAACTATGCCCATAGTTATGCTCTGCTTTAAAACTAACAGACAGTGATAAATCAGCATAAAAAGAATCAACCTTCCCCTCCCCTCCTTAAACAATTTCAAGTTTTGAATTGGGTTTTACTTCCGTGTTCTTCCATAGTTTCAAATATGTGACACCATAGTCAATTGCTGAATATCTAATCCAGTCATGGTATTATTCCTCTACATGTAGATTAAAGGTTGTGAAGATATCGTATCAACATTACGAAGTGGTTCTGCTGCCGAAAGTGCAGTTGCAGTTATGCAAGAAAAGGGATTTATTCATCAGCGTAAGTCCAGGCATCGATTAACTCCAGGAACTGTAAAGTTTGCTGCATATCATCTTCTTGCCCTTGAAGGGGAAAAGGGCTTAAATGTTACAGATCTTGCTGAGAAGATTCAGGTAGCTTATCTCATTCATTTCATCTTGTTTTATTTCTGCTCTATTGGATTAATTGTGGTTTTATTGGCAGAAATCTGGGCTTCGAGACCTTTCAACAAGCAAGACACCAGAAGCATCTATTTCTGTTGCTTTGTCAAGGGATCCTTTGCTTTTTGAAAGAGTAGCCCCTTCAACATATTGTGTGCGACCTTCCTTCAGAAAGGATCCAGCAAATGCCGAAGAGATAATATCAGTAGCTAGGGAGAAGATACAGAGATATGTGAACGGGGTTTTAGCTGGACAGAATGCTGATGATGAGGAAAGAGACGATGATTCTGAGTGTGATGTGGCAGATGTTCAGGAGGTTGATGATTTAGGTACTCCATCTGACATGATTAAAAATTATGACCTACAAAATGATCTTGGTGCTTGCATGGCGAATGGAAAAGACAACCTTTCTGCAGAAGTTGCTAAGAAAAACAGATTTGATACTCTTGGTGAGGACATTATATGTGCTTTTTTCGTGTATGCTGTTTTTTCTTGCATATTATGGTTCAAGAGATGGACAACAATCTGCTTTTAAAGATTTATATTTTCTTTTGCTCATAGAAGGTATTGGGGGAGGTAATCCTGCCCAAGAAGGTGCAGAGATTGATGAAAGCCAATCAGGTGAACCATGGGTTCAAGGACTCTCGGAAGGTGACTATTCCAATCTCTGCGTGGAGGAACGTCTGAATGCTCTTATTGCACTAATCAGCATTGCAAATGAAGGGAACTCCATTCGTGGAATTCTTGAGGTTAACTTCCATCTCTTTCCTATCTAGAAGAGCATTAAATAATGCTTTCTGTTCATTCATCTGACAGTGTTAGTTTTCAGGATCGACTTGATGCTGCGAATGCTCTTAAGAAACAGATGTGGGCAGAAGCACAATTGGATAGAAGGCGTATCAAGGAAGAGAATCTAATTAAGTTTCATGATTCTTCATTAACTGTTGCAGCAGAGGGAAGTCAGAGTCCATTTTCCCTTTCTATCAGCAAAGTTAATGAGCCACCATCACATACTGCTTTGGTAAATGACAGTTCAGTTGGATTGAACAGTGCACAGAACCAGCTTGAGGGTTTTTCTGCCGAGAGGAGCTCAGTCCCACATGATATTTCCACAAGTCCTTTTATTCCCTTGGTTCAACCGAGTGGGTATACTGCAGAAAGGTCAAGAATGCAGCTGAAATCATTCATTGGCCACAAAGCAGAAGAAATGTACGTGTACAGGTCTTTGCCTCTTGGTCAAGACCGAAGACGTAACCGTTATTGGCTGTTTGTTGCCTCTGGCTCTAGTCATGATCCTGGTTCTGGGCGGATCTTTGTTGAATCACCCAATGGCTTTTGGAAATTGATTGACACTGAAGAGGTATAGTTTTAAGGCATTATGCTTCTCTTGTCCATACATGATAGGGTACAATGGAGTTGTTTGAGACGTGTAGCCGACCCCACCTATTGGGATAAGGCTTTGTTGTTGTTGTTGTTGTAAGCTTCTCTTGGCCGCATAATTTTTTCTTTCCAATTTTGCTTTGCCTAAGGCTGCCCAAGCCCTGCCAGCCTCTCGTCTGCCTCTACCTGACAACCATCATCATTACTTATCCTTTGTTTGGTTAAGGAGAAAAACATAGAAGAGAAAGAAGAAATAGACAGAAAAAAGAATGTTACTTGCAAAAAGGAAAACATACCCACAACATACCGTATTGAAATGTTAGAGGTATATTTTAAGCAAAAGGGAAAAGCTCTCTCTCTCTCTCTCATTTTTACCCACTAGGGAATTTATTGAAAGAAGTTGGTCTGTCCCATTTTTTTTTATTTCTTCCCATCTCAATCCAAACAATATTTCATGCCTTTTCCCTATTTTCATTTCCTTTTGTCCATATTTTCTTCTAGCAAACAATGTGTTAAATGGAAGGCATTAGGCCCAAGTATCCATAACAAGTGCCTTTAACTGAATGTTTTTTTTTTAAATTTGCAGGCATTTGACATTCTTTTAACATCTTTGGATACAAGAGGGCTTAGGGAATCTCATTTACATATAATGTTGCAAAAGATTGAGATTCCTTTTAGGGACCGTGTTCGGAAGAATACATTACAGAATCGTTCAGTTGCTTACCCTTATTATGATGCTGGTGGTGATAGTCCTAACAGTATGGTGTGTAGTACAAGTTCTGATAGAGTAGAACCATCTTTCAAAATTGAACTGGGAAAAAGCGAGGTGGAGAAGAGGAATGTGTTGAGGAGATACCAAGACTTCCAGATTTGGATGTGGAAAGAACACTTTGGGCCTCCAATCTTGTGTGCATTGAAAGATGGGCAGAAACGGCGATTACCTTTGTTGGGAATATGTGATCGTTGTTTTGTCACATTTCTTTTTGAAGAAGACTTCTGCAGCTCTTGCCGCAGAGTGTTTGGGAAAGTTGATTTTGTCGTAAAACTTATGGAGCCAGACATCAGCTGCGAGGACATGATAAAATCTGACATGGAGGATTTGATTATCTCTAATACTTGTCCCTTCGGAATCATATTGATCAAGGCCATGTTGTCTGTGCTTGAGGTCAGGATCCCGTGCTATAATTTCATTAATCATTTTGTTTCAAGAGAGATATTAGAGTATTGCCTTCCCAAATTGTAGAATGTTCATACATTCTAGTCCATCCATTTTCATACATTCTAGAGTATTGCCTTCCCAAATTTTGTTTCACACAATGAAAGTATGGAGTAATAGTTTTCTCCAACATCAACATGAAATATTAAAAAGTGATCGAAATACCTATGGTTAATGCATTAAATAAAAGCAAAGTACTCCGTACTATGAAGTATTCATAGTTGGAGATGGACAATTGTTGAAAATGGGCAATTAATGCTCACTTGATACTTAAAAAAGTGAATTACACAAGAACACCCCCCAACCCCAAGCAACAATTGTTATTGGATAGTTCTTAACCTTCTCCACCCACAGGCTTCTATTCCAAGCGAAGCACTCCAATCTTCTTGGACGGAAGACACCAGGAGGATATGGGGTTTAAAGCTGCACAACACATCATCCACTGAGGAACTTCTGCAGGTTTTTCATTTAATTTGACATTTATGTGTGGTTGGGTTTTATATGTTCCTAAGAGAAATAGTGCCCAACTGCAGTATCGTAAATAAACTGGTTCCTTAAAAGACATTTTCCTCTCCCCTCTTGTTTACTTCGGTTGCTTTTAACTTTGCACGAGGAGAATAGTTTCTTAATGGTTGTCAAATTTGTTGCAGGTTCTTACTCAGTTTGAAGGCTTTGTAAAACGAGATTATTTGTCATCGAGTTTTGAAACAACAAGGGAGTTATTGGCACAGTGCTCTTCTTTACGAGCTCCCACTCTTCAAAATGGCTTTCCTGAATATCTCCCATGGATACCATTAACCACTGCTGCTGTGGCACTCCGACTATTTGAATTTGATGCATCTCTTTCATATGATGGGGAGCCGAAAGCTAAGCCTTGCTATGATGCACAGAAAGTTGAAACTTTTACAGTTAAGTATACCCGAAGTCTCACTCCCTTTAGTAAGTTGAATTTCTATGAAATCAGGTTCAGGAAATGAGACACCCTGAAAAGGGTATTTGACAGAACAGGATGGGTTTAAACAAGTATTTTCCAAACAGGACAAAAATGATGTTATTTGTAAATGTTAGTTCTGAATTCTTTTTCCCTGTTGATTTATGTATCACACAGAAGACTCCTATGGATTATGCTTCCCTGAACAGCATCCAGAAATTAGAACCCACAGCATTGGACCAAGGGGCACATGCAAAAGAGGAAAAGTGGAATTACTTGGGCAACACACCGGGTGGGTCCCGTGGGAGGCAAGCAGGCCGTGGCCGAGGAGGTGGGCGCCCACGTGGAAGAATACCCAAAGCAAATGTGGGACCCGTCTCCGAATTCGCCACGCGTGGGAGATTACCTAAAGGAAGTGCTGCTGGATCAATATCACGCGGCCGCCGGACTATAAGGAGAAGGAGGGAGAGGGCTTTTGTCATTGAAGAAGAAGAAGATTTAGGCAATGACTATGAACGAGTTGCAGGGTCAACATCTGAAATGGTGTATGGCAGGGAAGACAAAGGAAGAGTTCAGGCCGAGGACGACGACGACGATGATGTCAGCAGCAGCGGGGAGGAGGAAATGGAATCCGGCGACAGTGGGGAGGAAAACGAAAACCCATACGATTTCGTCAAGTGGGGCTCACCAAGCAACGAGGCAATGGAAATGTCAGACGAGGAGGCAAACACTAGTGGTAGTAGGAGCTGCAGTAGTGATGACGGCGGAGATGGTGGCCAATATCTGATAGATGGTCAGAACTTTGGCGGCGAATACATTGAAGATGGTCAAAATCTCGACGGTGTCGGCGGCGATGTGTACATGGATGACGGCGATGACTCGGACCGAAATGATGACGGGCAAGGTGGTTCGGGGTCGGGTTCCGATGAATATGAAGACTATAGTGACTGATGAGTCAGTTCAATGGACCCACACAAATGTGTAGCTCTCTTCTGCACCTGGGTAACCAACAACAACACCCTTTGTTAGTCAATTAGGTCAGTTTTCTTCTTCTTCTTCTTCCCTTCTTTCTGTAATTTGTTTTGGTTTAGGAGTGCAAAAAAAAGGGCATGGAAGGGTGGGGGTGGCACACACACACACACATAGTATTACTTACATATAGTTGTGTTTTTCATGTTTGTGTGGAGTTTTCTGTATGAGAGGATGCAGAGATCTTTGTGTATAAAAGCTGTAAGGTTGGTGTAGAGTAATTGTAGAAGTGAATAGTGTGTTTCAGTTGGAAGCATATACTGATCAGAGAATATCACAATGTTTTATTTTTTATTTTTGGCAATAGAATATGAGAAGAGTTTTTCATTTTTGTTGTGCCAACTTATTAATTGGCATATACTCTGAATTTCATGAGCCATATGCTTGGGGGGAATCCAAGGTGTACCTCACTTTTGACTCCAATGCCTCAACATGAACTGGAGAGGTGAGATATAATATGAGCTGCAAAATTTGAAGTATAAACCTCTCTTTGGGACAGACAAAAAATGTAAAACTTTATGTATCGATCAAAAAAGTTAAACTATAATAAAAAACTGACTGGTAAAGGATGAAACCTGGGTGCTTGCAGAGACCTTGAGCTTACTATAGTTGCGTTCTGGTGCAGTTTGAAAGAATCGAACTCAGGTTTACCTCTTTGGCATCTCTTGCTCAAATAGTTGAGCTATACCAACCATCGAGAAATACTCAAGAAAGATGAGTGTGACAATAAACAAAGAAAGATGAATATGAATGTGCAATTCTAGAGTGTTTGTCTAATTTTAATTTCTTAGAGTCAATCATTATCAAGCTTTAACATCCAATTAAAGAAAAATTTTTCCTAATTATTTATACAATATTTTTAGAAAACATTTTTTAAGATAGGTCTAATAAAATTATTTTTTATTAATATTTAATAATCCGTCAATTTTACTCCCTCCGTCCTATAATGATCTTCCCGGTTCGCAAAACGAAGAAAAATCTCAAGTTTTTTCAATCTATTTTATTTAAATATTGGTATAGAAATAAAAAATAAAACATACATATTTAAAAACTACATCAAAAGTTCAACAAAACAAGTGGTGACAAGAATATTTTATTTTATCATATAGGCCATGAAAAAACACAGATAAATATAAATTCCCGTGAAGTTGGAATAATGCTCTGGGAAGATCATTATAGGACGGAGGGAGTATTTAGTAATCGTCAAAAAATTTTAATTCTTATTTCTAAATAATTAAAATGGGATAAATATTTTGAGAGAGATAGTCTTTTGACAACCGGAAATAATCTGTTAACCTTTGAAAACCGGTCTCTGGCCGGTCTCTTCCGGTTTAGAAATTACAGTCACTACAGTCTCCAAGTCCGCAAGTAGACCGCGGCCACAATGATTTCCAGTCTTCCTGTTGACCGGAACACCCCGTCAGCCATGTCTGCGTTTTCCGCCTCTCTCGCCACCGCCGGCAGACCATCTCCGACGAAGGTCTCCGTTCCTTCATCTCTCACTCTCTCTCGTCCGTTTGCCACTTCATTCTCTCTTTTCTGGCCGCAAACCTCCATTGCCTTGAAAGCTTCGCGATTGCGAGTCCTGGAGAATCGTGAAGTGCTGACGGAAACAAGCTCCTCATCCGCCGCCACGGTCGCAGTCCGCAACGAAGAGTCATTGGACTGCACCGTGTTCGAAGTACGGGCTCGGAATCGAATCGGGCTGCTCCAGGTCATCACCAGGGTTTTCAGCGTCCTCGGATTGAAAATAGACAGGGCAGTGGTTGAATTCGAGGGGGAATTGTTTGTAAAGAAGTTTTACGTCACTGATCTCCGGGGCAGGAAGATCGAGGATGATGAGAATTTGGAGAGGATTCAGATGGCGTTGATGGATGCAGTGGAGGGTGGAGGCCATGGGGCGGTGGCGCCGAGAGTTGGAGATGGTGGGAGAGGGGTGGCGTTTAGGAAAGCTGGGTTAGGAATTGATTCGAGGGACCGGAAGGGGAAGGCGGAGAGGATGTTTGGGTTGATGGATGGGTTCTTGAAGAATGATCCTGTTAGTCTGCAAAAGGATATTCTGGATCATGTTGAGTTCACTGTGGCTCGATCAAGGTTCAACTTTGACGACTTTGAAGCCTATCAAGTAATGTGATTGTTTCTGTTTACCATTAAGTTTCATTTGGAAGTTTATTTTGAAGTTGAATATCATATTGATGTTTCATTTGTGGTTGTTTGATTATTTCTATGCTCTTAAAGGGCCCTAGTTTTCTCCCCAGCCCGAGCCTTGCCTAATTTCACTTATATATAAAGTTCTAAAACACTTGAGGTGTCGCAAGGAGGTAAGGTCAAGTTTCAAAAGAAGCTTAGGTGGGCTTAGGTGAAGCCTAGACGTGAAAGGATTTTTTTTTTGTATTTTTTACTTTTATTATTTTTTACTCCCTCCGTTTCTTAAAACAATTCTACTTCCATTTTTTGTGCATCCACAAAACACTTCTCCCCCCACTTAAAATGTCTAAAAGACTCTCTATTTCTCCTTTATTGCAGGTAGAAGTTGCTTTGGAGGATATTTTAGACATTTTAGGTGGGGTAGATGTGTTTTGTGGGATGCACAAAAAATGAAGGTGAAATTGTTTTAAAAAATGGAGGGAGTATTATTTTACATTGATACGTAAGTAAACAAAATAAATATTTGACATATTTTATTCAAATATTAACACATTTTCACATTTTCAATAAATTCTCCTTATAGACTATAATAGTATAACAAATTCCAAATACTCGTACAAACTAGAGTACCGTTAGGTTTTAGGGGTTTTGCTGCTATATCACATAGCTAACACAAGTGAATTTCTTTTATTATAGTTTAACCAAACTTTGAAAGAATATTGTTCGATCAGAAAAAAGATCATGCCTTTTCAAGACTAGGCCTTTGGTGTCAACTTACAAGTGACTGCCTTTTCCCTGCCACTGCATGTCTAAGCACTGCATTTTGCCACCCTTTAGACTAGAGCTTATATCTATCTCAACCATGACTAATACAACCAGTAGCTAAGCCCCGTAAGTTGCCCAGGGGTGCCGGCCTGCCGGGTGCCTACCACGTACTCCGTAGCTTACAACTTGGCCTAGTAGTCATGGTGACACTTTGTATTAACTATGGTACAACTGTATGAGCAAACATCCATTTTAAAACCCTGCATAGCATTATTGTTATACGTGAACCAACCCATATGGACGTATTTTTTGTGTTCTTCATTTTAGTGACGTCCATTCATTGACTTTTTGGTCTGTGTACCAGGCATTGTCGCACAGTGTAAGGGATCGTCTTATTGAAAGATGGCATGATACACATATCTATTTCAAGAAGAAAGATCCCAAGCGAGTATACTTCCTTTCACTTGAGTTTCTCATGGGTATTTACTTTGCACAAGTTTGTTTTTGCAAGAATACGTTCTTATTTTCTGTGTTGGATGAACTGAATGGTAGTGTTTGATGTATATTGTCCTACCACTTACTACAGAGTATTTGGATGTTTTTGTGTCTCCCCCCTAATTAGTGTCAATTTAAAATCCATTACAATTAATGTCAACCTGTCATTTATTTACATTTCGTATGATGAATGAAGCTTTCTTTTCCGAATTGTTAGGTCGTTCTCTATCAAATAGTGTCATAAACCTTGGCATCCAGGACCAGTATGCTGATGCTTTAAGCCAGCTTGGGTTTGAGTTTGAAGTCTTAGCTGAACAGGTTAGCACATTGTTTGATTGAGTTTTTGACATCTAGTTGTTACTATATATGTAGTATTAGATTCTGACTTTCCATCTTTTTCCTACACTTTCTAAGATAAGTTAGACTGAATAGTAGAATCTGATTCTTTTATAAAATTCAGAATGTGAAGCTTTTTGGTCTTTTTGTCCAAATTCTTAAGGTGCATCATCAGAATCCATCATCCGTAGAAATAATAAGGTTTTTAAAATTATTGATGTAGCAAATATTTACCCGAAAGGGCATTCAGCCACTCAAATATGTTTTTAGTTTTTACCAAGCTTTGCTCTTGCACACAACTTTCATTGATTTAGGTTCACAAGTCACAACTTGATTACCTTATAAAGCCTGTAACTCCCTTCGTCCTAGAGTATTTGTCCAGTTTTGATTTTTTGCAGTAAATCAAGATCAACCTTTGACCTACAATTGAATAGGTCAAATAGGTTTTTTTTGAAAATGCAGTACAAGATAAATCGAATAAAATGATTATGTATCAAGATAAATCTAATAAATCTAGTATCAATTTGATTTAATTAATGGTCAAAGTTTGTCAAAATTGGACAAACACCCTGAGAGGGAGGTAGTATAATGTTTATACAAAGAAATAATAATGAGAATGGGAAACCATAATGTTTCTAAAGTAGGGTTATATGTAATGTCGTTGTTTTTTACATTTTTATATTTCAACAGTTTTATGAACATTGAATTTGTTGCAAATCATTTTTCTTCATTTTAACACTTGTAAATTTTCAATCTCTTCTTCATTTCTCTTCAAGGAAGGAGATGCCGCACTTGGTAATGGTGGTCTAGCTAGGCTAGCAGCTTGCCAGATGGATTCTTTGGCAACACTGGACTACCCTGCTTGGGGGTATGTTTTATGCTTGTTTTCTGAAGATACATTCCTTTTATTGGATTTTATCTTCCTCCTGAGCATGGAAATTCTCTACTAAACTAAGGATGGGGAAACAAGAACCATGATATGAAGTTCTGTATTTATGTACCTTCCTATATTTTGTGTGTGTGTGTGTGTGTGTGTCTACGAAACAATCTCTCTACTTTCTAAGCATAGTTATTGATGGCGCTCGCCATTTGCGCTTATGGTGCAGCCGCGCAGAGGCGTGCTGTTTCCGCCCTAAATGGCTTTGATCGGAGAGGATGTGTATACGCAGACCTTATCCCTATTTCTCCTTGTTCACGTGCAAGGTTGATCCCTCCTCCAACCCTGCACAATTAACCCTACTGGGTCAATCCAAATAAAACTCTAAAATATATGAATAATCAAAAGTCCAGATAGCAATTGCCAAGGAGTTAATTTGATTAGCAAAATGAAGCTCCATTGGGTTTGAATCAACAGCTTTTTGTTCTTTTCAGTTATGGACTACGTTATCAATATGGGTTATTCCGTCAAATCATAATGGATGGGTTTCAACATGAACAACCTGATTATTGGTTAAATTTTGGAAACCCCTGGGAAATAGAACGTGTTCATGTATCATATCCAGTGAAGGTTTGAAAGTATTAATCCTATCCGTTCTACTATTTCTACAATAGAATTTTCCATTAATTGTTTTGTACTCCATACTTTTCTCTCCTGTCTGACACTAGCTTCTCTGAATCTCTTCCTTGAAAGTTTTATGGGACCGTTGAAGAGAAAGTTTCAAATGGAAAAAAGTTTAAAGTTTGGATACCTGGAGAAGCAGTGAGTATTTCAATCTCCTTTTTTTTGCAGCAAATCATCAATATTGATTTTGAAATTTCAAAGTTAAAAGGCAAGAGGATATTTTATCTACATTTGCAATCATTCTGACACACTCACAAACCCTAAATTTCTTTGCTGGTAGGTTGAAGCAGTTGCTTATGACAATCCTATACCTGGTTACGGAACACGGAATACCATCAATCTGCGACTATGGGCTGCAAAACCAAGCAACCAATGTGACATAGTAATAAAATTTGCATTGGCTAGGGCCTTTTTTATTTGTTAATTGACACTTTTAATGGATATTGCATGGTTCAAGAACTTGTACCCCCCCCCACCCCACCCCACACACACACACCTGTCCCAGCCCAAAATAAAGTTCCCACTTTCTTCTTCTGGACGTCCCAAAATAATGTTCCATTCCATTTAAGGAAATAAATTTGTGGTTCACATTATTATTTTTCCCCGCATAAAGTTCCACCACACATTTATACTTTTTCATGAACTCTGCAAAAAAGAAAACATGAACTTTTTTGGACAGAGGGAGTATTTTTTCCCCTTCTGATTATGATTTACATATACTGAATCATACACAGTTCATGACTTCCTTATGTGAGGTAACATGAGTGTTGACCTAATAGACACTTAAAGTGTTGCTTGTATCATTGCATATTTGGACGACAAGTTGTACCTCTTAGAAAAGGAAACCGAGCACTGACTACTTCTAGGCACACTTATTTTTTTCGAAAAGAAAATGTTGCACTTACTTTCTCTCACTGTGGTTTGCAGGAGTCCTATAACACTGGAGACTATATTAATTCAATTGTAAACAGACAGAAAGCTGAGACTATTAGCAATGTTTTGTACCCTGATGACCGCTCTTACCAGGTCAGTGCCTCATTATTCAATTATTAGATTGAGTCATTCACTCCAAAAAGATCTTCAAAAGGTGAGATTTACACACACATATATATTAGACTCAAATGGGACACTCAACACACCTCTCATCTCAAGCTGGGTTGTACAACCTAAAGGGGAGACTAATGAGTCAAACCAAACCCAAATGAGCTTCCACAAACCATGAGGTGAAACAAACAAACCAGGATCTAATATATATCATATCAAATTGGGTCTAACTCCCACCAAGAATATCCTTAGAAGTGAGGCTTACTTCACACTTATAGGGAAACATCTGATATAGGACACTTAACATCTGATAAGGACACTTAACATCTCATACAGTCATACAGAATACTTAACAATAATATTTAGAATGTTTTCCTTGGAGAACTTTGCAGTTTTATTCCTCGCATTTTGGTAGGTGTCTTGATGGCTCTGATATGTTTATATTGAGCTATGCGTTATGGTCCTATGAGAGATAATATAAGAGGATGTCAAAGTTTTTCTCTCGTATATGGTGATTGGTAAGAGATTCATGCTGCAGAGATGATTTGGGACGCAAGTTGGATGGAAGAAAACCTGCAAGAATATTTTTTGAATTCACTTCCAACTTGGCTTCCAAATAAATTATTACTCCCTCCGTCCAGAAATATTCTTCCCATTTGACTTTTCTTGGTCAAAGTTTATAAACTTTGACTATGATATATGGAAAAAATACATTGTATCACGATATAACTTTAATATGAATATATTCCTTTTGATAAATAGTTTTCAAATATCAAATTTTTACAAAATATATCTATGTATAAATAAAGATATTAGTGGTCAAAGTGCAATCTTGGAGACCGTAAAAAGTCAAATGTGAAGAAAATTTCCGGACGGAGGGAGTATTTCTTTTATAAAAGAATTATAATTTTAATTAATTTGGAGAGGCAATCATTGTCATAGATGAGAAATTTGAACTGTTAAATAAAATAAAATGAGAAAGCCCTTCAAAGACATCATCTTGATCTTAGGCACTGGTTCAATCCTATAAATTACTCTTCTGCAAGCTATCTTCCTGGATTACAGTTTGCCCGACGCCCATATCATTGCACTACGCGGCTACGCCTGAAGATCAAGCTTGTCCTCAAGCTTGAAAACTCAAACATGGCACTGAATAATTGCACTAGTAGAGAGTGCCAGTGATCCTTGTGTTCTTGAATGAGATTGAAAGCTTACTAGATTTTACCCGTGCGTTGCACGATAAGTAATTTATTTCAACATGTAAATTATAAAATTTCTTAAAGTAAAACCTCTACATACAAATGTGAATATGGAATAAAATATATAAGTTCAATAAGACATGTACTTCCTCCAAGTCAAAAAACTTAAATCATTTTGAATTTAAAAAATTATTTAAAAAAATTATTAATCCATAAAATTATTTAGTGACATGTACATAAATACCAAATTTTAATAAAAAGTATATGAAAGCACTTTAGAAAATATAACATGTAGTGGTATTAGAATATATAATTTTTTAACGCTATCAATTCAATTATATTGCAACATCTATTCATAGTATATTCTAAACTAAACAAAAAATAAAAACCCACATGATACAGTAGTCCAATAACACAAATATAGTCACACATGAAAATCCAATAGAGTAAATATCCAAGAAGCATAAATTTGTTAAAACATATGACACCCAAAAACAAAGTTCCAAAAGAGCAAAAGGAGCCACTCCACTACTCCAGTTGTCCTCCAGTTGGCCTCTAAATAGCCTAATCCTCCTAATGTAAAAATGTCATTGACGATTGATTCATAGCTCATTAACTTCTGCGCGATAGTGCAAGTTGCAACAAAATTCAAAGACATCTCCAAGCAGCATAACTCAAAACGCATTCTTGTACTCCTTTGTCACAGCTCAAGTCGTATGATATAGAGATTTAGAAGACCCCTGACATGCCCCAAATGCCAACTATATATGTACATTAGCGAATATAGTTATACGCACATTAACAAATATATACTTGTAGAGATGTCACCAATCTTTAGTAACAAAGAACCAAAGCTCCCCCCTAATGTTGTCTCTCCTCCAAAAGAAATACCAAGACTCGAAATCTATTAGGATAAGCCTTATAGTAATAGCCAAAATGGTTTCTTCAGTTACTTTAAATGAAACTAACCCAACACTGAAGATGAACAATCATTAGCCTTAGACGTTGATGCAGATTAAAACAAAAAACTGATAAATGCAAAATGCTTAGACCCTTGCAAATTCAAACTGCTAAGCATCAATACGCCCATCTCGATGCAGGTAAAATTACACAACCCTAGAAAATTATTACCAAAATTAATCTCATCAATACTTTTTAGTTGCTATATAGATCCAAAAAATATTTAGGGAATCACTAGGGAAAGTGAAAATATCAAATAATAATTTTCAGATCAAATTCAATTTCAAATTTCAACTTTTATTTTCAACAAATTAAAAATCAGAAGACAAAATTTAAAGTTTATGATTATCTATCTCAAACCACTAAAGAATTCAGAATCGAACATAAAAACCTTATAATTGTTTAAATCAAAGTAGTTAACTTCTAATTGGCAATGTAACTCATGCCAAGCAAGCATGATGTACTTCAATTTTAATCATCAGTAGCTATTTTGGGTTCTTTATGGCGAAAAACCAAGCGTTGTAGTTTCTGTGGCAAATCCAAGTTTGTCTCTTTAGCTCCATGGCAGCAAGGCTATGTTTATAAAAAACTACATAGTATCTATGCACTAAAACATACCTATACATTACCTAAATAAAGGAAGAAGTAGCACATTAGCAAATATAGGAAACAAATTCTAAAAGTAAACTTGAAATCTTATAAATTCTAGGACTATATTCCTTCCAATATTACAACCGTTGATACTTATAATATACACCTTATGGTAGGCTAAAAAAATGAACTCATGATGATGCAAGACACACAGTTAATGACAGGGCTATATTAGTTGTGCCTTAGCTTTGTGCAAGGTTATGTGAAACATCAATTATTGAGGTGGGTGTAATGAAATTAGTAGTCAATTAATTTAGTTTTCACTAACTACATGGAAAAAAATCAATAGAACATCAGTAGAATTTAGTCTTTTTAGAGATTCATTGCATGACCTAAATCAATTTTTTGCTCAAAAATTTCATCCAGTGAAAAAAAAACAATATCTCACCTGTTGCTATTACTTTGTCCAGAACATCTTTAAAGTGATAGCAACAATAAGTGAGAAAAGTGCTCAGAACATCTTTAAAAAAATAATATCTCTATTGTTCATGGAGTAATATAAAAGCAACAATAAGTGAGAAAAGTGCTCATAATATAACCTAGAAATTGCCTAGAAGTTAAAACTGATGCTAAAATTCAAACATGAACAATAGCTTATAACTAATGAAGATGATGGAAAAATCAGCCATTAGTTTTTGTTATAAATAAACTTGGATTTCACTTAGGATGTAACATTAAACAAAAAATCAAATAATATTGTTCTGGGTTGTACAAATTCTTCAACAAAACACTAAATTACAGCGGAGATACACAAATCCTAGGGTAAAGAGTGAGGTTTTAATTCTAACCATTGAAGATTTTGATGCTTGTGCATGTCCTTATGAAAGATAGAAGAAGATGACTCCTCTTTCCCACTCTCGCCACTCCTCTCTAACTTATAGAAGATCATCATTACATAACTGTAACAAATGGCCTCTTGATTCTCCCATATATAAGAATTTTTTTAAATGAATGATATATAAAAGAAGAGTAAATAATGAGTGGTGGCATAATGATGAGGGTGGCAGTGTTTCTTGGGTTTTTTAGAAACCCATAGGAATGCCATAGTAACATGAAGAATTGAAGTTTCATTCACAGGACTCACAGAGACATTTCATCGAACATGTGGTGACTCCTCTTTGCCTCTGTAAATTTGCAAACTGAAAAGGGATGTGACATACCTGGGACCTTGAAGAACACTTATAGATTGATTAATTGATAAAATTAACATGAAATTGATATGGAGATATATAAGAGTAGATGGATTGAAACCTTAATTATGAAAAAATATAGGAAGAAATTGATTAAATTCGGATGTACTACAGTCTACAGCCGCTGGGTCAAACTCAAGGAAGATGATGAACAGCGCTCGTGCAACGACACCCTCCACCTTCTCCTTCTTTCTCAAGTTGCTCCCTTCTCTCCCCTTCTCTGCTTCATTCCGATCGATTGAGTACTCAATCTGTCCATTGCCATTTGAAATGCTACACCTTATCAGATTGATTGTTCCACGATGTGCTTTAGTGGGTGGTTGGGACTTGGGCTGCGGTTTTTTTAATAATCAATAATGTACCGCAACCGACGTTGTATTGGTCTCAGACAACTGAGCGGGAAATTTTTCCTGCTGCTCTTGTAAATAGAAGGATTACAGTGTTGGACTAAATCAATGGTGAGCACCATCCCTTAGAATTTAGAAATGATCATGAAAGACGATGATCAAATGAGGCAATTTCGGAGGACAAAGAAGGATCTCAAAGGTTTGAGTTGTAGTTAGATTTGAGCAGTCTTTCATGTGGGGAGGCTGCATCATTGGTGTTAGGTGCAATCTTGGCAGCAATGTGAGCATCATTGCCGGCTGGAGTTGGGGAGGTGGTAGAAAAATTGGCAGTGTTGGAGGCAGAACTTCAATAGGTGAAGTATTTATGGGTGAGGATGCATCTTCTATTGCCAAGGAATCCAATAATTGGACAAATGGACAATTTTTTCATATTGTTTAGAATTGCATGGGGGTTGTAGACAACAAAGGTAGGCATGTTTTCAAATTCATGCCCCCCAGCCTGAGGTTGAATCGAACCAAGAGTTGTTTTGCCATCTTCTATATAGTAGTAAGTGTTATGCATGTGTAAGTGGTGTTGTTGAAATGGCTGTGGTGAAGGAGTGGGTGGTAATTTTGTCCTGTTGGGTCTCTAGGAGTCTAGGGTATGAACAGATTTTTGCAATGCTTTGAAAACGGATTCATCAGTGACAAGACTACCAAAAATGCTGGCAGCAGGAACCAAATGGATATATTTATTTATTGAGCTGTGCATTATGCACTTACGGGCTTGTTAGGGTAACAAAGGATGGCATAGCTTCCTCTCACCTATGATGGCAGATAGATAGTAAGATATTCACACGGCAGTGAGGAAGATGGATACTAGTTTGATGGATAAAAAACTTTAAAGAATACCTTTTTATTCAAATCCAACTTGTCTTCCAATTGCATATCCTTTGCTTATTAAATTGTAATTTTACAGAAACAGTGCACTTGATTATGGGCTGGTGGCGGGAAATTACAAGATTTCGGGGTAGTGGATTTTACAACAATGTGGTAACTTATGCATACATGTTTAAAGGGTATTAGAGATCATGATGAAGGGATCTGAGATTGTTTAGAGAATTGATGCACGAGCATTGGAAAATTAAACAAAGATTTTGAAATTAAGGTTAGTCAAAGTAAGCTAGTCGTGAATGTGATGGTTTAGAATTGCTGCGCTATGCTAAAAGAAGAATGCATTGCTTCCATCCACAATGCACCTTATATTATAATCTGTTCTTTTTCAGAAAATTTTAATAACCAGAAGTCTATGTACCCCAAACATTTCTTTTGTAGTTAGTTTGTATATTTCACTGTTATCACTCATCACATTTTTTTCTTCATTTGTTAAGCACAAGTAATTTATCTTTTAAACATTGTTTGTTTGGTTCTCGCATCTACTTTTCAGGGCAAGGAACTACGTCTGAAGCAACAATATTTCTTTGTTTCAGCATCATGCCAAGATATTATTAGGAGGTTTAAAGATCTTAATGATAACTTTGAACTATTTCCAGAGAAGGTGGTTACTCTTTTGTGGAATGGTTTGTTTCTCCTTGTTCAAACCATTAAGGAGTTCAGATTTTCCATTTTTTGCGGATGTTTGAGATGCACTGTTCTTAATCTATTCAGATCCTTCAAAACTTTGTTTTCAGGTTGCTCTTCAGATAAATGACACCCATCCATCTCTTTGCATTGTTGAGATAATGAGAGTGCTCGTTGATGAAGAGAACTTGCCTTGGAGTAAAGCATGGGATATTGTGTGCAAAACATTCTCCACCACTATTCATGCAGTACAACCTGAAGCACTTGAGAGAATTCCTGTAGATCTATTAGGCAGTATTCTTCCACGCCATTTGCAGGTGCATCTTTGAATCACAGTATTTTGCAAAGTTGAGATGAGAAGGTTTAGACTTAGCTTTTACTTTGTTTGCTAAACTTCATTTGGTTTATTCATGTCTCTCAAAACCGATCTAGCATCTGAAACCTCATAATAGAAGGGAAGAAAATGTAGATAAAGATGGAAAAATAGCAAAGAATATTTCCTGTTGAATATTGACTAAACATATACCGTAATATTGGATTACTTCTCACAAGTCCTAGAGTGATTATTTAGTATGACTACCTTTTCTCATACTAGATTTTGGAATGAGGATAATTTTCTATCAGCTAATTCAAACTCTTTTGTTTTCAAATTACCTCTCTACCAGATTATATATGACATAAACTACAAATTCATGGAAGAGTTGAAAAAACAGTTTGGTCAGGATTACAGTCGACTTTCTCTCATGTCCATCGTCGAGGAAGGTGCTGTGAAGGTACTGAAAAAACATTTAAAAACTCCAAGATACACAATACACTGTTTTTCTCATTTACCAGGGAGATATATGGTCTTTTGCTTCCTTAGATGATCTGATACAGCATATTTTTGCTACCGTGGATCAAAAGATCTCTTCAGTATTGCACTAATACTTCATAAAGAAACAAGGATGAGAGCCATTTTTATGCTTTCGATCAGTCTATCTCACCCTCACACCCACCTCACTCCCAAAAAAGTACAGAGAGGGATCAATTAGTTGGCCTGTAGTAGATGCATTTGAAAATGTTGGCATGTAGTAGACACATTTTAAATCAGTTAGAATAATGATGCACAACTTTCTGTGTTGCTGTGGTGGTCTACGGAGTTATGGTGAATTAGTTGGCCTGCAATAGCTCATAATGAAATCTTATTTTCTATATGCGATGTGCTTTTATTTTTTGCCCAGTTGTAGCTGATAATGAAATTTTATTTCAACGTCATAGAGTATAAGAATGGCAAACCTGTCTGTTGTTTGTTGCCACACTGTGAATGGAGTTTCCAGAGTGCATTTGGAGACACTGAAGCAAAAAGTATTCAAGGTTATTGTTTTTCACTTTTCCCCTTCTTGCTTTATATAATCCAGTAATACTTTTTATATGCTATAATTTGAAAGTTTGTACTCCCTCCTATTGATGTATAAATGTTTGAGAGTAGTATTCTTCTTTTGTTTCTTATTCCCCTGTTTTTCTTGGGCATTTGGAAAATGGCAATGATGCCGGAGTAGTTAAATATTTTCTTACACCAGGAAGTGTGGTGCTTTGGAGTGGAAGCATATGGCCGCGGAACAGTTTTAAAAACTAGACTTGGATTGTAAAAGTTGTAGACTTTGTTTGAAAACAACGTTTTAGATAATATTTTAATGGTGCACATTAATTTTAAAAAATGCTAAAGCGAAAAGCTAATGTTGGATAGCATTTTTAAAACACTACCTAAACTCTGAAGCCAATACCAAACAGAGCCCTAGAATCATACAACCACAACAACAACAATCCAATAGAATCCCACGGAGGTAGGGTTTGGGGAGGGTGTGTGTAAGCAGACCTTACCCCTATTCAGAAGTAGAGAGGCTGTTTCGAAGAGACCCCTGACTCAAGAAACACAGGAAGCACGCAGCACGTAGAAAGGAGCATAAAGCAGGCTAAAGATAGAAAAAAACAAGAAGCACCAAGCGTATGTAGCACACATCATTAAGCACCAAAACTACCAGTATACTACCCAACTATCCTAATCCTATCTCTCCAAACACTCCTATCTAAGGTCATGTCCTTGGTAAGGGCCAAAAATCTAAGGCCTTGGCTAACCACCTCTTTCCAAGTCCTCTTAGGTATACCCTTCTCACATTCCCACCCACCATGAAAAGCCTCTCACATCTCCGCACCGAAGCCTCAGCACTTCACCGTTTCACATGTCCAAACCACCTCAGCCTAGCTCCCCGCAGCTTACTCTCCACATACGCCACTCCCAAGCCCCAACCATTACCGAATAACGTTGTTCCGAAATTAGCTATCTGGGACAGTGAATTACTAATGGTCGGTCGGTAAACCCAATAAGGCATCTAAGTGTGCATTTCTCACTCCCATGCATAGTTGTCACGGCGGCTAGGCGTTAGTGTACCTTCCAGACGCCTAGGTGAACAGGCGCCCGCCTAGGCGTCCCCTAGGCGAGTGGGTTACGGCGACCTTAATAATTTTATATGTAGTAATGTAAAAACATATAGTATGGAATAAGTAATTAAAGAGTACATAGATACCAACATTATGCAAGAGAGAGTTTCAAAAAACAACACAACTTAAAGTCTCAAAGTGAATAAAGCAAAAAAGAAATGTTTCAACTTTCATATCCATGTCTCTAGTTCATGGCTAATGATTCATTAATCATTAATCATCCATGAATAAGAGCTCATCACTCAACATCTCATTGGTTGTCCTTGTTGACTCCTCGTTACTCATAGTGCACCTAATGCCATAATCATCATCCACTTCTTTGGATCCTTCGATGGGTCATCATACTCTTCATTTTCGTTAGGTTCGGCCATTAAGAATCTGAAATATATGAATAAATATTGTTTGAAAAAATAAATTTAAAAAGATACTAAAAAAAGTTAAGTACCAAAAGAAGAGGAGAGAGTAAAAAAAGGATAAAAAAGTCTTTTCTGGAAAAGTACTCTCTGCCGAGAAGTACTCAAACAAATAAGTGCCAAAAAATATATAAAAACTGAATCTAAAGCTATGCTTATGTATCGGAACCAGAAACAGAAACAATTGAATCAGAGAATCGGAAAAGAAGATGCCTTGATGCGTCGTTCGTTGGAGATAGATGAGGAAACTCAGCCGCGACGTTGATGCAGAGAATCGGAAAAGAAGATGCGAGAGAGAGAGGGTTATCGAAACTGGAGCAGTAGACTGGAAGGGTTGTTGACCGGCTAGGTTTTATTTCAATATC